TATTATTATTATTATTATTATTATTATTATTATTATTATTATTATTATTATTATTATTACAACTACTAGTATAAAAAACACTAACAATTATTATTATAAATAAACAATTGAGGGGCTGGATGCTATAAGGTGTTACGCGCCATTCACTTCGCATAGCGCGTAACATCTTATAGCATCCAGCCCCTCAATTTTTTTTTCAAAAATTTTGTGTATTTTTGCAAAATTTTAACAAAACAAAATTTTTTAATATTTAACAAATAAATTATTTGAAAAATTAGAAAACGTATGAAATGAGGTATTGTTTATTATTGTAGAAAAAATATTCTTTGGCGCACTGTGCAAATTCTTTGGGGTCTAAACTTTACAAATACATACAAACGTGCACATTTATAATTTCTTATTCTCATGAGGAATCTAACGGAGAGTATACGAACAGATTCCGACAAGAGATTGTACTATATATATATATGTATACAAGTTTTGTCGGCATATCACAGAGAATCCCTTTGCTCTCAATTTCAACTGGAAGGTCAAGAGTCAAAATTTTTTTTTCATCCATTCTTAAAAAAAGTAAAAACATTTCACGTACTCTATTATATGAGACAATGTCATATTTTTAATAAGCAACAAGATCATGACATTCTTGGTAGTTTTTCTTTATATTTATTACATTTTTGTCATTATTTCTGTTATTAACAGTAGTAATAAATAATAGTAATTTATTTGGAATTATTTTTGTTGTAAAAATATTTTTTTTTTATATCATAAAGCGTTTAGGTAGTTTTTTAATTTGAATTTCGCGCTCATTTTCATTAGTTAATGACGCCATCGATAAGTGGCTCTGTTTGTTATGAATGTCGCCATCAATTTATTGAAAATAGGGAAACTAACAAAAAATACAAGTTTTGAAACTAAAAATTAATATTTTAGAAGTTTATTAAATAATTAATTTACGAAAAAAAATAAAATATAAGTACAGAAAAAAAATATAAAGTGTGTGATAAATAAAAAAAAATTAATTTGAAAACAAATTAAGAGAAATATAATAATAATAATAAAAATAACAATGCGTAATGCTAATAAAAATAATAATAATAATAATAATTATAATAAAATAATAATAGTAATAATAGTTAATAACATTAATAATAATAATAAAAAAAAAAATAATAATAGTAACGATAATAAGTAGAATTAAAAATTTGTTTAAAAATAAAAAAAAAAATACTTTAGTTTATATTTATTAAGCAAATAGTTATTAAAACAGTATTTTTTTTATTAATGACAAGAAAAAATTGTTTGAAAATAAAAAAAAAATTCTTTATTGGCCCTTTTAAAATAACTTTTCACCCTCGCACCTTTTCTCGACTCAGTTGTGTATACATATAGAATTGAAAAGTTTTCAATTTAACATATGTTGTGTGCACCACGTGCGCGATCATTTGAATGGTTAATGGAACCATATTTTGAGCCATCTCCATAACAGAACCGCACAAACCTGATTCTTATATATGGCGAATTGTTAAATTGACCGCAGCGGAAGTGAGACCCCCTGAGACCCCCTCCCCAATAGCAGAGGGTTTGCAGCTGTGAAAATTTTACTCTTAGTCGTTTATTTTCCATTTGTTTTGTTTAATTTAATTTCAATGAACGTTAAATGAAATAAAAAATATAAATAAAATTCTAAAACCCGATAATGTTAATTGTAACTTTTTCATTTTAATTTAAATGTTATAACTTTATTTAATATTTTGTTAAAATTGTGTTTTTGTACATATTTATATTTGTGCAATGTTTATTAAATGTTTGAAGATTATATTTTATTATTAATATTATTATTATTTTTAATATAATTTTAATTTTTTTTTTTTTTTTTTTTTTTTTTAAATTGTAATTGTTGACAATTTAATTTTTAATTTTAAGCTAAATTTATTTTTCTATATAATATTACAATTAATATTATATATATATATATATATAATAATATACAATATAATATAACAATTATTATTTATTTATTTATTATTGTTTATTTGTTTATGTTTATTTACTATTATAATAATTATATTAGCATTTTTTTTTTTAAACACGAGAGTGCAATGTGTATATCGACTCTTTTTCTACTACAATGGAGGGAATAATATGAGTTGTGCGCTTTAAGAAACCAAGTAGAAGAGTTTCCACCCTCCATTTTATTATTTTTAGTTGTTTCTTTTTTCTAGAATTACTGCCATGCCTCCTAGTGCATAGAGAAAAAAAACCGACGACGACACAAGGAGCGAACTGGTTCTTTTTTTCTTCCCTATTTCCAAGGGGATGAAACCCTTGAGCTACCCGACACTACCCCCTTTTTTTTTTACTCCGCACAAGGGTTGTCTACACTCAACTTCTTCTGAGTCTTGAAATTTTCTGCAGAAGATGAACTTTTTCTAGTTCTTCAAAAAAAAAAAAAAAAATTCCTAGACAATTTTAGATTTTTAAATCATCTAAAAGTGTCAGTCAAAAAATTTTTTTTCTCTAAAATAAAAAATTTTTTTTCTCGATTTTTAAAAATTTTTTAAATTTAAAAAATTAATAATTTAATTAATTACATATTTACTCAATAAAAATAATAATAATAATAATTGAAGAGTGGAAAAAATTTATGAATATAATAATATTATTAATTATAATAATAATTAGTAATTAATTAATAAAAATTATTTAACTATTTATTATAATTTAGAATTAAAAAATTACTTATCATTATAAATTATAATGAAATTAACTAATGAATTAATTAAATTTGAATAATATAATTTTCAATTAATGAACAATTTTATTATTTAAATAATATTTAAAAATTTTTTTAAATATTTAAAAAAAAACTTTTTAATTTTTTGTTAAATTGTCTAAAGAGTTTTCAGAAATAATATTTTACTTCTATAATTTTATTCACTTTTTGCAAAATGCAAATTATTATATTTATGAGACGAAAATAGAATCCAAGTGTCAGCCACGTGAACCCAAAATGCAGTTGAATCTGCACCGCATATGTTCCGGACATGGAACTGGGGCGTCAAAAAAAAGTGAGAACTATTTCCTGGAAATATTTAAAGTATATGAATAATGAGCGGGTTTTTCTCAAAAATTTTTAATGTCATTAATTTTATTTAATTTTCTTCTGTGAAACATTTAAAAAAAAACATTTATCATTTCTTTTTTTACAAATTATTTCATTTTTTCAAAAATATTTTACTTTTTAGTAAAATTTCTCATTCGTTTGAATATAAATTTTAAGGTTATATAAATTCGCCTCTCATGTGAAATTCATTATCAATTGAAATAAATTAACTAAAATTTTAAGTTGTAGTTAATATTTTTATTATTATTTATTCTATGATCTCTGGCCGTTGGGGATCGAACCACTGACCCCAAGTTTCACTCACTAATTCACGTGCCTTAACGACTACGACCATTTTCTTAATATTTTTTTAAAAATTATTATTTAATATTCTTAATATTTTTTTAATTATTAATAAATGTTGTAAATAACTTTTATTATATTTCAAACAAAAAACAATTTGTGAGTTATAATTTAAAAATTATAACTGCTGCAAAATTGTTTTGGTTTAAAATTTAAATTAAAAAATAAATTTTTTATACCCTTATTTAAGCGTTTCATGCGCGGTGAAAAAGGACGTTCACGCGAGAGATTCTTTATCTTGGAAAATATTATTATAATTTAATAGGAGAGGGGAAAAAAAGTGATGTTGTCTTGTTAGGAAAATTATATATTACGGATTTGTAAATAACTAACGTTTTCAGAGTCTGACATACTAAACACACCTTAACAGAGACTTTTACGGCTGCTGCCTATGTTAAATCACGCGTACTGCAAATGTCGTTAAAGTTGTGACACCTTCATCCAATTTTCCATGATATTATTCGAAAAAAGACAACATTTCAAAAAAAACCTGTTTTGTCCATTTTATTTTCAACTTATAGTCTATATATAAGATTTCACCTTATAGTTTTCTTCAAAAACAGAAAAAAAATAAAAATTTATTTTGTTGATCACAAATAGATATAAAACAAATTTCTTTTTTGCAAATTTTTATTAATTATTAAACATACTTTTTTTAAAACTTAATAACTTTTATTTAAATTTTTTAATTTTTAATTTGACAACTTTTATTTAAATTTTTTAATTTAAAAATTGACGACTTTTATATTTAAATTTTTTAATTTAAAAATTGACAACTTTTATTTAAATTTAAAAAATTCGAAATTTTAATGTTTTATTATTGGGTTTGTATTGTAAATTCTTGATAGAGTTGCATGTTAGTTGGTATAAGTGTCGATTAAACAAAAAGTGTGATGGGGTAAGTTTTTAGGAAAATTCTTGATGAAAAAAAAGGGGGAAGTGTGATTTTAGTGATTATATTGTATAAAAGAAAATAAAAGGATTTAAGTTAAATTGTGCGAGGGAGATTAACATTACGGTTATAATGTTAAGGAATTAACCCTGAAACTCACCCTACTTGTTTAGGGGATTGAAATATATATACGAATGAAAATTAGGGTTGTAGTGTCACATTCCCCCAGATATTGTGTCTTTTTCACCCCCTCCTCTTTACCCATCTGCCTTTATTTACTCTACCATATATAAAGACTCAATTTTCTCCATAATTGATGGACGTGCTCCACCCACAATTTGCTTTTCATATCTTTTTACAAAAGTCGACAATCATTCTCTATAGCTTTGCTATTTCATCGATAAATTATAACGACGATTATATTCTGTTCAAAATATTGTCCTTTTTTTTAAGAAAATATTTCTGCTGTTTTTTAAAAATAAATTAAAATTAAATGAATTTTTTTAGTTTAGACCTACGGCACAATTTATAAATAGTATTCGACAAAAATTAAGGTACTTGAAAGTAACAAAAAGTTGAAAAGTTTTTATAAAGTAAATTTGATATTTGAAAATAAATATTGTGTTTCTTTTTGTATTGTAGATGTGCAGATGGATTGGTCGGATCATGCCTTATGGTGGCCAGAAAGAAATCATTGGTTGACGAGGACGAGAAGTACTCTGGATCAATATGGAGTTGCAGCTGATGCACTTTTACATTTCACACCGATGCACAAAACACTTCGAGTTCAATTGCCGGACATGCGATATCTTGATTGTAGAGTTGATTTTTCGGTTAAGACTTTTAACGCTGTTATCAATCTCTGCAAGGAATTTGGTAAGTGTCATAAGATTTGGTTTTTTATTATACTTTCAGAATAGTTAAACTTTTCTTGATGTTGCATCAAAGAACACAACAACATTTAATCCAAATTTTGGGCATTAATTTGGTCCAGTTTAGTATCAATTTGATACTTTCAAGAAAACTATGAAGAGTATTACAATTAGGGAACATCCTAGGAATTATTTTCGAGAAGAGACTTGAGAGGAATAGTATGTTTGTTACTTGTGCTAAATTCTAAGAGGTCTCTAATTAGGAGACGTCATTAGGTTGAGTATCCTAATTAAATTACTTCCTGAGACGTGGCTTATTAGTGGATTTTATTAGGATTAGGATAACCTAATTAGATTACGTCCTATGAGCCTTCCTATTATAAAATTTTCTTGGTTTAGAAGATATCTTGGTTATATAGATAAACTACTTCAGGGTATGATGATACTCCATTAGGATAAGATTATCATAATTATAGTTCCTTTAAAGAAGTTTCCTAGTTAGATTCTTTAGTGGATCCTAATTAGAAGTTCACCTCTTAGTAGGTTCTAAGGGATGTACTGTAGAGAAACTTTACTAAGATTACAGTATCTTCAATAGATGACTTCTTACTAAGTCTACTAAGTCATCTAATAAGAGACTTTCGATTATAAAAAAAACTCGATGAATCACTGGATTAAGTACAAGATGAATTACAGGAAATCCATTAAAAGAATAAAATTCTTAAGCATCCTAAATTATATTACAAACTCAGATGTCTTCAATTAGGGTACTCTTTTAGGATAGAAGTAGGCTGATGACATTAACTCCTACAGAACTCTTGTTGAGATTAGTAAGTTTACGCTTTCAATTCAATTAGAATTTTAGAGATCTTCTATGAGAACTTTTCCTTAGGATTCGCTATTCCATTTACTTTTTGCTCACATAAACCAATGACTTTGTATTTAGTGAATCTTTTCTTGCTGAAGCTGTTTAAGTACATATCTTGTAGAAAAAACCGAAAGTCGACCCAAATTATACAAAGGTCTAAAATATAAAAACTTAAAATAAAATAAAAACTGAATATAACGCAAAGATAATAAAGTAGAATACAAAAAAGATGGACATCGAAATTGTCCAAAATTGATAGTTTTCACCATTCAACGAGTAATTAATATTGTCGCTCGAGGGAATAAAAATCCTTTGGTAGTCACGCGAAGGTCAAGTATTCAGTGAAGCTCAAAATTTATCACCGGTTTATCGCTACTCTTTCATTATGAAACTGGGTTACAAACATTAATTATTAACATTACTGATCTAAATAATAATAATTACTGTCCTTCTCAAGTACCGTTTTTATTATCCATTTTTTAACAGATCTCTCCAATGGCAAACCTTTGCAATATATGTTTTCATTTCAAAAATGTTGAAACTTTAATGAATTTCGATAATAATAATTATAGATTTACTTTTAGTAACTATTTACTATTTACTTTTAGTAACTATTCACTATTTACTTTTAGTAAAAATTGTACAATATATATTAAATAGAGAAATTTAATTACAAATTATTTATAGGTATCAGACATCCTGAGGAACTTTCGTTTTGCAAACAACTTGAGCCCTGCCACTTGAAGTACAATTTAAAAGATCTGCCGGCAAAAAAGAAGATTGAAAATCAAAAAAACGGATGGCACGTTCCAGCTGATACAAATACATTTATTCCTGTCACACAAAGTCCCAGAGGATCAAACGGAAGTTTGGATCAAAGCAGTCCTTTCATGTGCGCGCCAGTCACGCCAAACAACAGAACTCATAGCACGCCAATAAGTTCTCCGATTTCGGTAAAAAAAATAAAACTTTTTTAAATTTTTAATAAACGAGATAGAAAAGAATTAATTAATACTAACATGATATTGAATTTCAGACAGGAACATGGAAGAGAAACAACAATTCCTCAGGATTTGGTAGTACCGGATCGTTTAACGCAAATAACAGTACAATGAGTCTTGAGGCATTAAATGGTGGACTTTCGGAATTTCTTGCCCAGAGTCCATCATCGATTTCGCCAGAAGTACGTGGTAAATTATCACGTCCAAAAAGTTTAATCGAACGAGCACGAATGAATGTTGCATGGTTGGATTCTTCCCTATCGATAATGGAGCAAGGTATTCGTGAATTTGATACCCTTAGGCTCAAATTCAAATTCTACTCCTTCTACGACCTCAATCCAAAAACCGATTCAGCCAGAATTAATATGATTTACGAGCAAGCAAAGTGGCAACTTCTCGCTGAGGAAATTGACTGCACCGAAGAGGAAATGCTTATGTTTGCTGCCCTTCAGGTGAGTTATATTTTTATTTTAGTATTAACCTTGGATTTATTTAACATAAAACTGGAATCAATTGTATAGTGCCTTTTTTTGCTAATGTTGGATGGTTTATTTGATGTCCATCCGAGAGTCCTTTCTGGCTTCCTCGAGGGTAAGATGAAATAAATTTTTATGTGCCCTAGTTTTTAAAGACTTGTAATTTCTGCTGCACCTCTTTTTCCTGGGTTAGGCAATTCGAGTAGTGGATCTTGAAAGTTACTCTTTGATCCAGCGGTAGCAATTTCTTCATGCTTGCAAAAGTTGCTAATTCTACTGATGTAACAATTTAATAACCTTGTGCAAAAATTCTTTTCATTTGTAATGGAGACCGAAAAAGTAGGTCTACTTAGTCCGAAGAAAACAAGGATAAATCAGAAGACTCTTTGACTCAGTGCAAAGCTGACAATCCGAAAACTTTAGGGAATGATTCTCCAGCAGCTTATCTGTCGTTTTTCCTCTGGATCCAGATCCAGAACAGACCAATCAGCATTCGCGTCACCCAAACCAAAAACAATGCCAACCTGCCTTAATAAACAGATATTCCTTAGAGCCAACTGCCTTAAACTTTCGAAACATTTTCCGGGAAGCCTAGAACTTCGATTTGCAAAATTTAAAAAATTGAGGATGAGCAATACAAACTTTTTTCTTTCTTTGTTCTTTAGGTTCAGATAAATTTACAAGCGAGTATTCCACAGCCTAGTTTCGATAGTAACGGATCATCATCACCAATGGAGGATGATATAGACGCAGCGCTGACAGACCTTCAGGTTACACTCGAGGGGACAACCATGAACAACGGTCCCAGTGACATAACACAAATTCCTGAACTCTGCGACTATCTGCGTTTCTTTAAACCAAAGCGTTTCACATTAAAGGCCTTCAAGCGATACTGGTTCACATGTCGTGATTTACAGCTGAAATTGTACAAAAGCAGAGAGGAAATGAACAGCTCCGAGCCACCGTCACAAATTATTAATCTCCGTGGTTGCGAAGTTACACCAGACGTTAATTTGTCTCAGAATCGTTATGGAATAAGGCTCGAAGTACCGAGTGCCGAGGGCATGTCGGAAATGTGGATCAGATGCGATACAGTCAGTATATTTATATTGTTTAACATATCTTTTTAGATTTTTATCTTCTGCTTTTAATTTACTTTCTTTGTTTCAAAAGTTTTCAAACTTATTCCTAAGCTCTCTTTCTGTGTATTTAAAAAAAACTTTTAATTTCTCTTGACAAGGAGTCACAATACGCAAAATGGATGGCTGCCTGTAGATTGGCGGCAAAAGGACGCACCCTGGCTGATTCATCATATGAAAGTGAAGTGAACAGCATTATCGAATTTCTTCAACTTCAAAGGCCTGCACCAGCTCCAGCTATTAGTCCCAATTCCCTTGGGGACATTGTACCAGAGGAATATGTCGCTTCTCGTTTTGTCAAAAAATTCAAGGGAAAGGTACATTAGAGAAATTCTTTTACATTAACTCTTATAATGCCAAATTTGTATAATTTAGTTGCCGATTGTAACTTTGATTTTAATTATAGGGCTTGACCCGTAAATAAATAAATAAATAAATTAATTAAGAAGAAGTCACCTAATTCCAGGTTGCCACGCAACCTGGAATTGTTGCAAAGAATTTTGACAAAAAATGTGATAATATTAGAATTCGTTCAAAGAATTTTATTATTTAGAAAAATTACTGAATTCTCGCGAAGAATTTTATTAAAATTTTTAAAAATTCTAATTAAATTCTTTTGAAGAATTTCTTTGAATTATTTTTAAACTAATGGAGTTTTTTTTAATAATTTTAATGGAAAATTTTGAAAGTAATTGAATTTCATGAAGAAGAATTTCATTAAAATTGTATTACAAATATAATAGAATTCTTGCGAAGAATGTTGACTATTTATAAAAATAAATAAATATTGTTCTGATGAATTTATTAAAATTTTAGAAAATAAATGAATTTTATGTTAATATTTAAAAATTTAAATTCTTTAGGGGAATTCTGTTAAAATTGTTTTGAAAAGAATTGAATTTCTGCAAAGGATTTTACTATTTATAAAAATAATTGAAATGTTTTAAAAAATTTATTGAAATTTTAAGAAATAATTAAATTTTTATGAAGAATTTTATGGAAATATTTCAAAATAATGAAATTTTTTCGAAAAATTCAATTTTTATAAAGAATTTTTAAAAAATATTTTGAGAATAATTGAATTATTTATAGACAATTCTAAATTATTCTTGTTGAAATTGAATTTCATGAAAATTTTTGAAAATAATTAAATTCTTTCGTGTAATTTTATTGAAATTGGATTAAAAATTATTTAATTTCTGCAAAGAATTTTAGTATTTATAAAAATAATTGAATTGTTTCGAAGAATTTATTAAAATTTTAGGAAATAATTGAAATTTATGGAAATATTAAATTTTAAAATATTTAAATTCATCCCAGGAATTCAATTAAAACTGTTTTGAAAATAATTGAATTCTTTCGTGAAATTTTATTAAAATCTTTGAAAGTATGAATTTTGTACTTAATGAGTATAATTATTTTATTCAATTATTTTCATAAATAATAAAACTTATTGCAGAATTTCAATTATTTTCAATACAAATTTTAATGGAATTTCTCGAAAAATGTAATTATTCTTAAAAATTTTATTAAAATTCAGGAAAGAAATTCAATTATTTTATAAGCCTTCCTATAATTTATTTATTGGAATTTAAGTATTGTTGTCAATACATTTTTAATTAAATTTCTTGAAAGAATTAAATTATTTTCAAAAATTTTAATGAAATTCATTTTAACAATTAAATTTTTTTTTTCAAAATAATTTTTATAAAATTCTTTGTAGAAATTTAATTAATTTCAACAATTTATCAAAATTCAATTATATTTTCAATATCTAGGTACAATTTTCAATAAAATTTCCCAAAAGAATTCAATTATTTAAAAAGAAATATTAAAATTTGTTTCAATAAAAATTCAATTATTTTCAAAATTATTAAAATTCTTCGCAGAAATTCAATTATAGTCAAAGGTTTAAAAAAATTATCGTCAAAATTTCAATTATCATTATAAATAGGTTAATAAAATTTTTCTCCAAAATTCAATTATTTTCAAAAAATTTTAATAAAATTTTTGACAAAATTTCAATTATTTTCAAAAACTTTTCTCAATTCAATCAAATTTTTTACAGAGATTCAATTATTTTTAATACAATTTTAATCCAATTTCTCGAAAAATGAAATTATTTATAAAAATTTTATTGAAATTCGTCAGAAGAACTTTAATTATCTATTTAAAAATTTGTCAATAAATTTCTTTATGAGAGTTCAATTTTAAAAAACATTGAATTCTTCAATAAATTATTTTTTTTGTATTTAAATAATTGAATTCTCGTAGAATTTTCTAAGAAAAATTAATATATAAATTTCAGTTAAAATTTTAGAAAACAATTGAAATTTATGGAAATATTTAAAAGTATTTGAATTTATCCGAGGAATTCACATTAAAATTGTTTTGAAAATAATTGAATTCCTGCAAAGGATTTTACTATATATATTTATAAAAATTGAAAAGAATAATTGAAATGATTCGAAGAATTTATTAAAATTTTAAGAAATAATTTTATTGTCATGAAGAATTTTATAGAAATATTTGAAAATAATGAAGTTTTTTTTTGGAGAAATTCAATTAAAGTTGTTTCGAAAATAATTGGATTTTTTTAAAGAATTTTATTAAAATTAAGTATATTCAAAATAATTAAATTCATCACAAGAATTTTATTATTTTTTAAAAATAATTGAATTTTTTTAATTTTTATGACGAATATATTTACAAAATTGCATTCAAAGTAATTTAATTTTTTTATATAGAATTTTTAAAAAAGTATTTTTGAGAAAAATTGAATTATTTTTAGAGAATTTTATAATTCTTGTTGAAATTGATTTTTATGGGAATTTTTGAAAATATTTGAATTCTTTTGTGTAATTTTATTTAAATTTGATTCAAAAATAATTTAATTCCTGCAAAGAATTTTAGTATTTATAAAAATAGTTGAATTGCTTCGAAGAATTTATTAAAATTTTAGAAAACAATTGAAATTTATGGAAGTAATAAAAAATACTCGAATTTATCCGAAGAATTCAATTAAAACTGTTTTGAAAATAATTGAAATCCTGCAAAGAATTTTATACTATTAATAAAGTTAATTAAATTCTTGCGAAGAATTTTACTATTTATAAAAATAATTCAATTTTTTCGAAGGATTTATAAAAATTTTAGAAAAAATGGAAATTTATGAAAATATTTAAAAATATTTGAATTCTTTCAAAGAATTTAATTAAAATTGTTTTGAAAATCATTGAATTTTTGTAAAGATTTTACTATTTAAAAAAAAAAATTGAATTGTTTAGAAGGATTTATTAAAATTTTAGAAAAATAATTAAATTGTTTCGTGAAATTTTATTAAAATTTTTGAAAATATGAACAGTAATAATTAATTTTTTACTTAAGTAATAAGTCAGTAAAAATTTTCCCATATTTAGAAAGAAATTTTAGCGGATTTGAATATTAAGAATTAATTTTATTACAGTTGGTGCAGAGGATTTTGGAAGCGCACGCCAACGTAAAAGATCTTTCGCTGATTGAAGCGAAATTAAATTACATTAAAGCTTGGCAATCATTGCCTGAATATGGAATCTCATTGTTCGTTGTGAGATTCACGGGAAAGGGGAAAGATGAACTTTTAGGAATTGCAAATAACAGGCTTATGCGAATGGATCTTCATAGTGGAGATCATTTGAAAACCTGGAGATACAACACCATGAAGGTAAACAAATTAATTATTTTATAAAGGGAATAAATTTTTATAGGGAATAAATAAATAAATAGGGACCTTATTTGAAAATTAGTCACGAACTAACAAAATTTTGAAAGATTTGTCACCACTTTTGAAGAAAGTCCGTCTAACCGGAAGGACAGCATACATGCATTTGAGTGTACAATACACTCAAATGCACATATGCTGTCCTTTCGGTTTGACGTCGGAAAAATTTTATAATTTATATATTCTAAAATTTATACCGAATTTAATTGACAACAAATTTTTTTTACAGGCATGGAACGTGAATTGGGAAGTGAAACACATGATGGTTCAATTCGAGGAAGGAAACATTATTTTCGAGTGCCAATCGGCGGACTGTAAAGTTGTTCATGAATTCATCGGTGGCTACATTTTCCTCTCGATGAGATCGAAGGAGGCAAATCAAACACTTAATGAAGAAATGTTTCACAAATTAACTGGTGGTTGGCATTAAATTTGCCAACAAATCATTTATATTCAATTTATTCGAATCGATAACAAAAATTCATATACTTAAAGAAATGAATACTTAAAAAAATATATATTAAGAATTAAATTCAAAATTGTAATTCACAAACAAAAATTCAAAAAAAGAAGAAAAAGATCCTTTATTTATAACAAAATGCTTACAGGGATTTAAAAAAAAGCGTTTCATGATAAATTTTAGTAGACCAGATGAAATTGTACATAAAGAGAGAGAGAATCTAAAACTCTCGGAATAGCCGGAAAATTAGTTTATAACATTTTTAGCTTTTTTGTCGATTTTATTTTTTCTTAATGCGCAAAGTGCCTATGGCAAACTGAGACTAAAAATAATAATTAAAAGTTTGCTTATTGGTCTAAATGAGAAAATACTTAATTTTTCAAGAGACTTTTTACAAAAGAAAATTGTAATTTTAATGCTTCCAAAGTTTACCTTTTATATAATCGAGTTTTACAGATTTTTTAATTGTTTTACGAAGAAATTTTTTAACACCTCGTATTAAATTAAGAGAAACGCACAAGAAATTCCATTTTATTAAAATGGATTGAGTGCCTTTCATGTCTAAATAATAAATGTTTGTATTTGATTCATCAGTGAAAATTATTTATATTTTTTTTTTTACAAATCTGTTTCTTTTTTAAATATCAAAGGAGAGAAGTAATTCAATTATAAACTAGACACTAATTTTTACTGACTTATTATTCTGATTATGAAAAATAAGAAAAAATAATTAATTAATCCTCCTGCGTCTGTGTAATTTAATAATATGGAATTTTATGAGAGAGAAAGAGAGCAAGAGACAAAGAGAGTGTGCAATAGATTTTTTTTAAATAGATAATTTTAATAATAATAATTACTATCATTAAATTATTCTTTTGTTTCGTTTTAAAATAACAAAAAGTAGATTATTCTGTTCGGAATATTTTATCAATTGAAAAAAATGATATTAAAATTGTACAGTAAGGAATTGAATTTGGCGCAAGAGGCTTAATTTTTCTTTTTTTTTTAATTAAATATAAAGAAATATTGAATTTCGTGTGAATATTGAATAGATTCGCGAACAGTGTAGTAGGGTGCTAATCACACGAAATTCAAAATATCCTCGAAATCGTGTAAATTATTTGTTGTTTTCAAATGTAAACTAGAGATATGAATTTATATATATTATATATGAAAAATTATTTACATGTCATGTGACACACATCACCTACGCCAATATTATGTTATTACATATTACAATATATGTAACCAAAAATTATAGTTTTGTATATTATTAGAATAGAAAGTGTATAATAAATTTAATTATTATTAATAACACTCGATGCCTATTGATATGATACAGTTTAGTTTCAATAATATTCTGCATTCTGCAATTCTAATTTTAAAATTCTGCAATTTCTAATTTTAAAATTTTCTTTTCTTCAATAAAGAAAATAAAAATTTAAATTTTTTTTTTGTTTTTTTCTTGTTTGTAAAATAAAGATCATTTGCTAAAAGGTGGGTAAAGATGAAAATAAGTAAAAATATTTCCTAAACAATTCAACGAAACTATTTAAAACTGCATTCCAATAGAAAATGTACTTTACTAAAGACAAATTCAATTGCTAATATTGTGCAACTAATGACCCAGCCAATAAACAATGAAAACCAACAGAAACTTAAATGTGAAATAGTCAGCGGAGATGAAGTTTCATCTTCGCAAGTTTCACACACCTTGTGCCCAATTTTATAATAATCTTGTAGTCTCGTTTCAAGTCCAGCACTGTGAAAATGTAAAACAAAGTGTTTCAATAAAGAGTTATAAGATTGTCTTGGTTTCGTGAAAAATAAACTTGGATAGTAAGCGAATGGTTGTTGAGAGGTTCGATGATTAAATCTATCCCGATATACCCACATTGCGAAATTATTAATATCCACATTATGCATCATTATCGCCTTCTCAAAATGCATCAAATCAATTATTGTCGTTACATTAACCTCCTCATAGCTATCAAATCAAAAATAGAAAATTATACCTAAATCTCAGGAACAGAATCTAAAAATAAAAAAATATTTATTTACCTATCGTAGAAATTTCTCGAACAAACATATGCAGAATTATCTATGAATTGATGAATAAATGTTGGTCCACCGAATCGTCTATTAGATTCACAAACTTCTGTTAAAGTATTTAATAAAATTGGTGGGCTTTTTGAGATAAAACTACTTGTAATCATACTTTCGTATGCTGTCGTGATTAAGAGACCGTACAGCAACATTAATCCCATTATCAAACGTAAGCCACCATTTTTTGTATCACCAACGTCCTGCTTGAGGAAAATACGTAGAAGATCTGAAGCTTTTAAAAACTCTCTGATTAATTTCTTTCTATAGACATATCTCACGCCTAATGTGAAAAAACTGTAAAAAATTATGACAAAGGCAAAACATATCCAAACGTCGAATTCCATGGGAATAAAAAAACTGCCAAGTCCAGTGGAACGGTAATTATATTCCGGAACGTAAAGTAATCCCAGAAAATAGAATCTGTAATAGGTAAAGGAAAACAAGATTAAATAAATTAAGTGGTATTTAAAAAATGTTATGATGGGTGTCCTAAATAGAGATTGCAAAAATCTTCAAAAAACAGTAATAAATAAAATAAATATTACCTATTCCATGTGGAAACCATCAACGATTCAACATCTCGCGACGTTGGCATTGCAAATCCAAACAAAACATCTATAGTATCATTTAAGATAGCGTTTACACCTTCATTCCAACTTGTGTCAACAATACTATGATTCAAGTCTCTTGTAATTTGAATCTCATAAATTTTGGCAAATTCTTCCAACATATCAGCACCAATTGAATAAGCCATCACAGTGCCATTCTCATAGACTTTATACGTCAAATTGTTTGGTGCCTCTGACACAAGATTCCAATAAGTCAATGAACATTCCGTTGGAGGACAGACAAATCTATCAAAACGTCGAATTAAATTTTCATTTTTATCATTTAAAAATTTTTCATCACATTCAATAGAATGATAAATTTCATTGTTATTTCTCGGCCTTGATTGAAATTGAACAATTGTTGTATTCTCAAGTGATATAAATATAAATACCGAGGAATAAAATTCTCTTTCATAGAAAAAATTCGTAAGACTTAAAAGTTCGGTTAATGTTGATATTTTAGTTATAATGAGATATTCGTAGTATTTTGATATCGAGGGTTCGTTAAAGCGTTCTCTTAACGTCTGTTGATTATCCTCGATGATCATAAATTTTGTTGTGAATTTTTTTGGAATTATTTCACTTTCTATTGAAAGACTAAAGTGTTTGTAGAGAATTCGAATAATATTTTGATGATTTTCTTGATTGTTGATAATTAGATGTAAATTCGTTGTGTCCAAGAAGGATTGCTTTGCAGTCGTTACAATACAATTGGCGATTTGTATTTCATTCGTTGTTGGTAATTTTTTAATTATACAGCATGTGGAGGAAATTAAAAGCAATATGATGATAATTATGATTTCGAAGTGAATGTATTTCATTTTTAATCTAAATAGTTTCTTTTTACAAATAACTTTAAATTGTATTTGTAACTCTTTGTAATTTAAGAAAACTGTTGTTTCACTTTAACTTTCTTTTTGTCAGAATAAGCTTATTACTGACGGAATATAAAAACGGGGAGAAAATATGTTTCTGAATATAGTGGAAAATTGTATAATGTACGATAGTTTTAGGATATGTACCTGAAATTGCTTCAAATTATACTTCATTTGAAACTATAAGTCAAGGGGGCTTTAGGGAATCAAATTATAATCTAATGGTGCTAAATAATAGAATGTAAAAAAAAGTAGATAGTGAATGTGAATAAATTGCTGACAATCGATATTGATGAGGCAATTTTGAATTGTGGAATAAAGGAAAAGTAAATTAAAGCTTAAACTGCGTTGAAATTTGTTAAAAATCGATTCGGCTTCGAACGCTTTTTATATCTATTATTTACGCCTTTCTATTCGCTGTGTTATTGATAAAATTCTATTAGTGAAGAAATTAAATAAAAATGTCACAAGAGCAAATTTTTATAGCTTATCGATATTATGATTTTCTTCTATTTTAATAACCGGCTCACAATTCAGATAAACATGATAATTTTTTCAAATTAGAGTATGAAATTACTTGTAGTGTTACATCATGATTAATAATGTGTGGTAAGATTAAAGTTAGCGAAGGATTTTCTTAAGTTTTTATTGTTCTACTAGCTGTATTTGTTTTTCTAAACATTTACTTTGCGCATAATACAGGTAACTGCTTATATGCTGTTCTTCCGGTTGGCATTAATTTTTGAAAACCCTGGAATTTCCTGTTTTTACCAAGTTATTAGTTCGTGGCAAAATTTACCATATTTTAGTCATGAACTAAAGATTGTGTTATAGAAATGACGCGGTTTTGAAAAAGGTGTCCAATCCGGAAGGACATATATATGCAGTTACCTGTATCCCAGAAAATTTACTGCTTATTATTTATAAAATATTTTTCACATGCTTAACAAACGTGTGTATTCAAAATTTATTACATCATTACAGAAATCTTATGATATTATTCGACAGAAATTCGAAACACGCGCAACAAATTCTCCTGAATTTTAATTTTAAAACAAACATTCGAATTGCGTAAATTTTTGTTGTTACAATTGTTACGACAATGTTGAATGTATGCAGATCAAACATAATATTACAATTTTAACTCATGCAAAATTTACGTTTTTCTCGTTTGATTAAACATATAGGTATTACTTTTGATACTCTTCAACTATTTATACAGTTGGTCTTAGAAGAAAAACGTGTAAGTTATTACGTAATTCACTTTTCTCATCTGAATAATAAAAAAATAATCTGAACCAAAGGTATATAAAAATAGGAAGTATAAACCATTTTTCAATTCTAATTAATTTTTTTTCAATAACATCCTCTACCAAAATCAAGCAAAAGTTTTCAAAAGAGTTTGATTTTTTCAAGTTTAAATATTTGTTATCTGCTGTTCTACATTGTAGAATTTATTTGGAAAAATTAAGGTGAATATTAGATGTTTTCTTTCTAATCAAAGGAACATTACTATAATTGTATCTTTATTCAATCTAACTTAACAATCTAATTTAGGAAAATTTAACGCTTTTCGCACTTTTAATAATTTCTATCCAAGAAACATAAGAGTGTCTTTTTCATACCTGATTTTATTTAAAATTTTTCAGTTCGACTCAATAATAATGAAGCTCCTGTTAATTTACGGAATTGTCTTGGTGCTAATTGAACTATCCCAGGGAACAACTCCTTTTGACTTGCACAATAAAGAATACGAGAAATGTACAGTGTTGCATAATTTACAACAGCTGTTGAATACAGATTGGTCACTGAGCACTTTATCGGACGTTAAATGTCTACATATGCAAAATAGCAACGTAGAACACTTAACGAATTGTACGTTTAATATTTTTCCAAATTTACAATACTTAAATCTTGCTGGCAATAATATTCAAAATCGGAATTTAGAATTTATATCAAGAATGCAAAACTTAAAAACACTTGTTCTTGACAAAGCTTACAGAACAAGCACACCTGGTGAGGATGAATTTCTCCTTAACGCCGAATCAGCAACTTTAGAATCGCTATTCCTGAGTAATAATGGAATTAAAAAATTGATCATCTCCAGTAAAATGCACCTGGAAAATGTCACTACATTAATTTTGAATAATAACGACATTCAAGAGATCAGTACTGAGGTGAATGGTGTCCTTTTAGAGGAAAATTTTAATTGGTTACCACAGTCTTTAAAGTATCTTAATATCGCGAACAACAAACTTAAAAATTTAATTATAATCAATAAGACCGAACTTTTTGAGGTGAATGCACAATGGAATGAACTCAATACCCTAACACTGGAAAATCTTCCTAATCTCGAAAATCTTTACATTAGAGAAAAATCTCTTAATCAAATATCCATCAAAAATCTCCCTAAACTTAAGGATTTGACACTTGAACTCTTGAATTCAGAAAGAATTCTACTTTCCAATATCAGTGATCTTCCTTCCCTCGAAGAGTTACATTTAAATTGCAACAACCTCTTATATTTTGATGGTCAAATTATAACCCATATGCCATCGCTCAGAACATTGGTTATCGAAAACGGTTCATTGACAAACATCCCAAGAATCCAAGATGGCAAAAATTTAATCAATCTCCTTCTTTCACGTAACAAAATTGAAGAATTAACATCAGAAGATTTTTTTTCTATACCGAACCTGGAGGAACTGAATTTATCACATAATTCAATCAAGAATCTAGAATCATCAACATTTTCACCTTTAAAGAATCTACGAATTCTGAACTTGGAACACAATTTGTTAGAAATTGCATCACTATTCACATTCAATGCATTTTCTAATCTGGAAATTTTAAAATTATCCAACAATAGACTTCGATTTTTCGATGGAATTATTGTCGATAATAATCCAGAGCTTATTGAACTTGACTTGGGAAATAATTTGTTGGAAAATTTTCCCACAATAAATAATGGGGTAAATTTGAAAGGCATTTATTTAAACGGTAATCATCTTCAAAAATTACAGGCTAAAGACAGTAGTTTTGATTTTGGTAATTTGGAATCATTGTATTTGAATTATAATTACTTGTCGGTAATAGATAGTAAAGTTTTTGATAGATTGAAAAATTTAAAATTCTTGTATTTGCATTCAAATCAATTGGAAATGATGCCAATGGATTGGTTGTTGCCCTTGAAGAATCTTAAAAGAGTTACTCTTGATGTCAATAAATTTACTGATTTTAATAAACTTTCATTAAATATGACAAAATTGAGAAATATAGAAATATCCTATTCGTTGGTAAATGATGATTGCCTCTACTGTATTCCAAGATTTGGACTTAATTTCTACTGTGAATTTTTGAGGACATGTATAAAAGAAAAAATATGTGGAAATAATTTCGATATTTTTACCAAAATTAAAATGGTCCATTGAAAACTGAATGACATAGGCCAAAATGTAAATTTTTAAATAATATTTTATTTAATTTTGCTAATTAACATAATATACCATATCTGTGAGAGAGAGATTCTGGAAAAAATTCCATTTATTTTGAATAAAATACTTTCGGAAGTCTATTTGAAAATTTTTCTGAAAGTTTTTTCTGCATGACATTAAAATAAGTACAATAATTTTATTCTATTTATGAGTATTTATATATTTATTATTCTAATTTATTGAAATTTGTATAAATAATGTGTATTATTTCATTTATTACATAAAAGGTCTGGAAAAAAATTTTCATTTCATATTCGATTTCTATACTTCCCATCCCTGACTCCAACTACAATTCTCAAACTAAAGTCCGCACTCTACATCACCTCAACATTCTATGGTCAAATTGAAAAAATTCAAGAAGACGCATATGGGGTTTACGGTGCACTGTGGAATTTTTATGTTTCCTGCTACTATTGCTCTATAGTTTTCTTGAAAAAAAATCTTTTGACAAAAACACGTGGAGTTAATTATTTGAAAAATGAAATCCCCAAAAAACTTTGGAGGTTTACTGATAATAATTTATTTTGATATTTATATTCTAAATTATTCTTATTTTTCTTTCACTGCAAAAAATGGCGTCTAAAAATAAGACGTTTATAAACGTCTTCAAAGTGACCACGTAAACGTCTTAAACCAAGACGCTCTTTTTTTACAGTATTGTTAGTAATTTTTAAGTTTGGATACTGTTATTTTTCGAAAATATTACTCTATTCAAAATTTAAAAATGTCTAACCTAAAAATAATATAATTTCTCTATCAAAGAAAACACTATTCAAAATATTATTCATTTCTAAAATTTTCGAAATGTTTAAATATTTAAAATTATAACAAAAAATATAATTAACAATTAAAAAGATTGTAATAATAAATAATAAGAAATTGTAATTAATAAATAACAGAATTGTAATATTAATTGTAACCAGTTATAATTAACAAATAACAAGATTGTAATACTACATAGTAACTGTTTATTTAACGTTTACACAATTATTATGAATTTTATACGCAGTATTCTTCTTCTTCTATGACTGGATTCTTCGCTACGGATGTAAAAAATATATTTTGTACTTATTGTATTCAATTGAAATAGTGATATATTGATTAGAATTTATAACAGAATCTTACCTAATTTCACAAAATGCGAAGCCTTATTTGCAACATTTGCTAGCCATTCACAATTTTTAACTGTAACACTCTCTAGAGTTACAACAGGCACTGAATTCTCACCAATTATAACAGTATTATTATCGTATACTCCCATAAATTCAGTACCTGGGAAAATTACATAACTATTTAAGTCTTTATCAATAATTTTCAAATGAACGACCAAGAAAAGCTGCTTTATTATAAGTTTATAAATTCGAGTGGAAGGATTATTATTAAATTGAATTCCATAATTGTCCACATTACTTAAATCATTATGACAAATAATAAATTCATCAAATGTTAGAAATCCATTATCAGTAATCCTCTTTGAGTCATTTTTTGGTAAGCAATATAAAGTTTCTGTTGATGAAGCCGTTGAAGAAATTGCATCAAACTGCCGAAGAGCTAAACTGTACATTGCTTTCTTTATTCTCCAAAGACTGGGAAATGACAAATTTGTCGTAATATAATTATTAGTTAAGAAATCTTGTATGGCGTAATAATCATCAAAGCTCACGGTGTCAAATAGGTCATTTTCCACATAATCAAAAAACAATCTTTTTATTCGAAGGTTTATTAAATTAATCTCCTCGCGACTATAAATGTTGTGTATACGTTTAATCACTAAATTCAAATTTAAGCAATTTTTATTTTCAATATTGCCTTCGAATCTTAATTTTTCATATAAATTAGAATCGTGTAGGGAACATTTATGAAATTCAGAACCTTCAGAACCTTCTGTTATTTTTTTACCGAATATAAATAAATCTTCATATGAATCAAATACGTAATTATCAAGTATGTCCATTGCTAAAACTTTATTATATTTTTTTTTTTGAAAATGTTTTAAGGTTATGTTCTTGCGTATCTGTAATGTAATATAATTGTATCTTCGTCTCTCAGGGGGAAAATTAATTCCTGCCAGTGTTGGTTTTATGAGAAAATTTAAAATCTCAGTAATAATGATTCCTTGAGAGATTGAAAAGACAAGTGGCAATGATTTTTTAGTTACTTCACACTGCAGATTATTTTCAAAACTGACAATTTTTGTCATTAATGGAAGAGTAATCAGTGCATCTGTTGTACATCTTAAGATTGTTGAAATCAAGTTTTTAATAGAGTCCGAGTTGTAGAACTTATTCCAGTAATTTATTACTCCAAAAATGGTTTCATGTACCATCAAATCAAACTGCTAATTTATAATTTATTTATTTTAGTTTTTGTTTTTTATTGCTAACAGAAATTAGATATTCAACAAGCGAAAAGAATGATTTATCTTATATCTACTGTGATATTTGGTGGCACATGAATTGATAAAAAAACACTACTGCCATGGATATTATAAATAAAATTATGCGAATGAAATTCTAATTTTTATAAGAGGTATGTTATTAATGGATCTCAACCTAGGTGTAGTAAAATTTATTACTCACCTTCAATTTTAAATCTTCAATAATTTTCATGAATATGTTTACTTCTTGAATTTTCCCATGATCCTTTGAATTGATCAAAAATGCTTCGTTAACTTTAGAAGATGTTACATCGTTCTTAATATTATTTAGAACCATAAATAATGGTATCCAGAAGAGAAAAACGATTGCAACTTTAACATTGACATTCATTTTAGTTCACTACTAAGTAAACTTTAGAATATTTTGATTAAATTACCAAAAGATAGTAATTATAATGCTGAATAATAACGAAGGCAAATATTTTTGTGCACAGTAAGCAGTAGCTTTAAGATTAAAAGTTTTTAAGATTATCAGCATATTTTTATACCTACCTATCCAATGAAGAAAGATAAAAAAGTAACAAATTTATATTTCTTTTTTTTATTACACACGAATTTTGCGCAACATCTTTTGACAAAAAATTAATTAAATCTAAGTTTATAAAAACTTATTTTACTACAATATTATAGATAAGTTTTCACCTTCAAATGCGACTTTCAAAAGTCACTAAGTTATATCGTGATTCGCAAACGCAATAAAATTTAAGATTTGTGACATATTTTTGTATGAAAATTCTAATACTACGTAAATTAATTTAAATAAAACTATGATTGGGGTACAGTTTTTCTAAAACAAGTTTTCTAATTTTTTATTTTCTAAAACTAATTTTTCTAATGAAGTTTAACTTCTAAAATAATTTTTTCTAATGAAGTCCAATTTCTAAAATAATTTTTTCTAATGAAGTCCAATTTCTAAAATATTTTTTTTTCTAATGAAGGTTAATTTCTAAATTTTTTTTAAATGAAATTAAAATTGTTTAAATTGATAGTTAAATCGTTTTTTGTTATTCGAAAGCAACTTCGCAGAAGTGGGATCAGTTGTTTTATATCAATTTTTAGAAAAAAAGGATTAGAAAATAGTTTTTAGAAAAAGTGACCACCTACCCTTAGAATAATATTAGGCGACTTACAAGGTTTAGGAAAATTATGAGACTTGGAAGGCTTTAGAAGACTATTTCATTCAGCACGTGTTTCCGATAACACTGAATTTAATTTGCATTCTAAAATGTTGTTGAATAAAGAAGATAATAAATTTACTAAATGTAAATTAACATATAATTTAATTAATTTGTAACAAATTAATTATTTGTTATTTGCTATTCTCCCTTTAAATGACATATTTAAATTTGTCCCACATTCCAAATGCAAATAAATAACTACGTTATTAAAGTTTACAATTCATATTGGAAAGTTAATGAAGAATATTGTACATTTTCTTTCAATTAAATGACACTTTAGTTAAATTTTCAAGTGTTCCACTGAATTAAAATATCGTTATCTATTAAAATAATATAATTATATAAATCAATTGTTTTATTAAGAATATTTTGACGGATTAAACAAATCAATTAAATTTAAGTTTAAAAACTTATTTTACTATAATATTATAGATAAGTTTGTCCTTTTAATGACTTTCAAATGTCACGAAGTTATATCGTAATTCGCAAACAGAATAAAAATTAAGATTTATGACATATTTTTTTATGGAAATTGTAATATTACATAAATTAATTTAAATCAAACTATTATTCATATTATATCTTAGGAGACTTAAGCGCCTTAGGAGGCTTTGGAGAATTAGAAGACTTAGGCGACATTTTAGGTTAGGAAGACATTTTAGGCTTAGGAAACATTTTAGGCTTAAGAAAATTAGACGAATCACGAGGCTTGACAGCCTTAGAAGAATTAGAAAACTTAGGCGCCTTACGAGGCTTCAGAGTCTTAGAAGATTAAAAGATTTGAGAAACTTAGGCGTTTTAGGAGGCTTAGGAGACTTAGAAGATTTAAGAGTCTTACGAGGCTTTTGAGACTGAGAGGAACTTGGAGGCTTAGGCGCCTTAGGTGACTTCGGGCACTTAAGCGACTTTTAAGGCTTTGGAAACTTTGGCGCCTTAAGAGGCTAACTTAGACTTAAGTCTTCTTATTCTCCTAAGTTTCCTAAACCTCCTTGTGCGCCATAGTATCTTAAGCCTAAAAAGTAACTTAAGTATCATAAGCCTCCTAAGGCTCCTAAGTTTCCTAGGCGCCTAGTCCAATAAGTCGCTTAAGCCTAAGTTACCTAACTTAGAAGACTTAAGCGTCTTATAAACCTGGAAGACTAAGACGACTTAAGAGACCCTTTAGGCTTAATACACTTGCGCTCCTTGGGAGACTTAGAAAACTTAGGAGACTTAAGAGACTTCAGTGACTGAGGAGAACTTGCGGGCTTAGGCGCCTTAGGTGGTTTTGGACAGTTTAGTGACTTTTAAGGCTTTGGGGACTTAGGAAACTTACAAGACTCAAGTTACTTAGAAGACTTAAGAGCCTTAAAGACCGAAAATGTTTAGACGAATTAAAAGACGTTTTAGGCTTAAGATACTTTGGCTCCTTAGGAGGATTATGAAACTTAGGAGACTTAGGTGACTGAGAAGACTTAGGCGCCTTATAGACCTAGGTGACTTAGAAGACTTTATAGGCTTAATCGACTTAAGAGACTTAGGAAACTTAGGAGACTTAGGAAACTTTTTAGGCTTAAAAAACTTAAGAGACTAATTTTTGACTTAGGCGTCTAGGAGGCTTAGGAGACTTAGGAGCCTTAGGAAACTGAAGTGACTTTTTAGGTTTAAAATACTTTGGCGCGCAAGGAGTCTTAAAAAACTTAGGAGATTTAGGGGACGTAGGGGATTTAGGAGACTCACATGGCTAGGAAGAATTAGGATACTTGGGAGGCTTAGAAGACTACAAGACTTAGGTTTCATGTTCTACTTGGGTTTAATTTTCTAGAAATTCTATTTCATTCTACACGTGTTTCCGATAACACTGAATTTTATTTGCATTATAAAATGTTATTGAATCAAGAACGTAATAAATCTCCAAAATTGTGAATTAACATAAATATATAGAATTTAATTAATTTGTAACAAAATTTATATTCTCCCTTTAAATGACATATTTAAATTTGTCCCAAATTCCAAATGCAAATAAAGAAACTACGTTAATTAGTTTTACAATTTAATTTTGTTTATTAAAAAAAATCAATTTAGTCTTAATACTTTCAGAAAATAAATTACAGATTTCTTTCATTTTTTTTTTCTAAATTAGCTAAATTTGCACGTGTTTTCATCAGGTATAAAAATATCGTCATCTATTCAAATTTCTAAATTATATAAATCAATTGTTTTATTAAGAATATTAAAACAGTTGGTGTTAGATGAAAAATTATGCATGTTATTGTCATGTGATAAATTTTATATGCAGTAATAAAATAAATTTTGTTTTATCGATGATTATATATATATAAAGAAACAGAACATTACAGTTAATTAATTCTGACAGGAATTTAGTAATCTTTAAATTAGAAAAAAATTATCAGTTATTTCATCTTTAGATCAATTGAGTTAAAGTGCTTATTAACAAGATACGATGAGAATTTTCGCATATAATTGTTATTTTAGAAAACATCAATTTTAAAGATTGAGAATTTGCTGCCTCTACACAGTGTTTAAAGTTGATATTAAATAAGGTAAATATAAAATTTTGTTTTATGTACCTATACAAATATTTCTGTTCCTCTTAATATTCAGAATGAAAAAATATCTGTTTGTTAACAAATATTTTTCAAATAATTTATAAATATTTTTATGGTGTTTTTCTTGACGTAAAGATAGTAAGACAATAGTATTTGGTTGAAAGAATTGTTTGAACATTATTGCTAATAATTTTTCAGTTTCACTCAACAATTATGAAGCTCCTCTTTATCTACGGACTTATTTTGATGTTGGCTGGTTTATCCACATGCTTAACACCTTTCTATATGCACAATCAAGATCACGAAAAATGCATTGAGTTAAATAATTTTCAACAATTTTCAATGGACGATTTGCTTATTGCAAACATGACACAAACTGCTGACATAAAGTGCCTACATATGCAAAATGACAATATTGAATATATACCACAATCTACATTTGAAATGTTTCCACAATTGCAGTACTTAAACCTTGCCGGCAACATTATTCAAAAACGGAATTTAGATTTTGTATCGAAAATGCAAAACTTAAAGACACTTGTTCTTGACAAAGCTTACAGAACAAGCACACCTGGTGAGGATGAATTTCTCTTTAATGCCCAATCTTCTACTTTGAATTCACTTTATCTAAGACACAATGGTATTAAAAAACTCATAATTTCCCATAACATGCATCTTGAAAATCTTAGAAAATTAGTCCTAAGCGATAATGACATTCGAGAAATTAATATCAACCAAAATGAACTTCTTTTCAAAACCAATTTCAATTGGTTACCACAATCATTAAATTATCTTCATATTGAAAATAACAAACTAACTGAACTAATTTTAATCAATAAAACAAACATCGTTGAGGTTCAAGCACGAAATAATGAATTTCATACCCTAAAATTAGAAAATCTTCCTAATCTCAAAACACTTTTGATTAATGAAGAATTGATTAATCAAATATCAATAAAAAATCTCACAAAACTTGAGGACTTACTTCTAGGTCTTAATAAAGCGGACAGCATTTTTCATTCGCAAATCAATGGTCTTACTGCACTTCAAAATTTCGAATTGGAATGTAAGAACTTGGTGTATTTTGATGGAAAAATTGTTGATCAAATGCCATCATTAAGAAGTTTGTTTGTCGCCAGCAGTTTATTGAGTGCAATCCCAATGATAAAAAATGCCAGCAATTTAAAGTATTTATTTCTTCCGAAAAATAAAATTGAAATAATTAAAAACACTGATTTTTTGGGTATGCCAAATCTTGAGGAATTAAATTTATCTGACAATTTGATCATGGATCTGGAACCATTAACATTTTCGGCTCTAAGAAAATTGAAAATTCTTAATATAGAGAAAAATCTTCTAAAAAGTGTATCACATTTATCATTCAATTCTTTTTTTAATTTACAAAAATTACTATTGTCTCACAATAGTATTAATTATTTCGATGGTGAAATTGTCGATATAAATCCATCTCTCCATGAACTTTATTTGAGAAATAATTTTTTAAATACTTTTCCAATGATTAGAAATGCGAGTAATTTATGTTATCTTGATTTAAGTAGTAATAAGATTCAAGTATTAGAGAAACATCATTTTCACCTTAATTTCGTTAATTTAGTGAAATTAGTTCTAAGTTTTAATAATATATCGAGAATAGATGATGAAGTGTTTGATAATTTGAAAAAACTAAGTCATTTGCATTTGCATTCAAATCGATTGCAATCAATGCCAAAAGATTGGTCATCGTCATTAAAAAATCTCGAATCAGTTACATTAGAGAAAAATGAATTTAATGATTATGAAAAACTTGAATTGAATGAGACAAATTTTCAAAATACCGCCTTATCTTATTCCTTAGTGAATGATCATTTTCTCTATTGCACATTAAGATATGGTGTCAATAGAAATTGTCATTTTATCTTCGAATACGTAGAGAACAATAAGGTTTTTTACTTTAAGAAAAAGTATATGACTTTCAAAAAAGTTGCAAACGATAAATTGAAATTAATTCCATCAGCAGAAATGTAATTTAAAAAAAAAAATTCATTTTCTACTTGTTATATAATTTTTTTTTTGTTAAATTAATATTATTAGAAGCGTATACTATATTTTACTAAAAAATCGTTGAGAATTATTTTTTTGTATTACGAAAGTAGAATAAGATTAATATTTATATTTTAATGTATATTTTAAATATGAAATAAATGTTTCATCTTGTTTTACAATTATTTATTTTCATTAAGGGGCGCGCCAAATGTACTTTTTTTAAATCTTCGTTACTAAATTCTCTATTGATTCCTCAAAACCGATTTTTTAATTTTTGTTTATTTCTATTTATTTGTTTATATAGAAAAGTATAAAAAAATCGATATGTTTCTATAAAATAAAGTTTTTAACATTAAAAAAATTTTTAAGCACATTCGAAATCATATTTGACTATTCCCGAAGTAAAAAATTTTATATATTTTAACTTTTATTAAATAAACAATACATTATAATTAATTAAATTTTTGAAAGAAGAACATAATTGAAAAAAATCAATTTGTATACTAGCGATACAATTAAATACAAAAATAAAGGTTATTGTGCAAATATTTAACAATTGTTTAAATAAATTAATTACGTTTTTTGTTAAATTTTATTTAAAAAAGTTAAAATTTTTTTTTTTTTAATCTTGAAATTTTTTTTATTAAAATGAACTAAACTCAAAAATGTGATAAGCAAATGATAATTTTTATAATTATTTAAACAAATTATTAATATTTTTAACTTTTAATTAATTTCAAAATTGTTTAAACAAATTATTTTTGTTATTTTAAAAAAATTATAGTCGTTTAAATAATAAAAATTTTATTTTGTTTAATATTTACAATTTTTATTACATACAAGATAATTATTAATGAGAGTATAATTTAAATTGGGATTAAAATAATTTATTTAAACAATTTTTTATGGATGTAGTTGATCATTTTTTTTTTGGTTTTAAGCCTCTGAAATTTTTTTAAAATAAAAATAATTTGTTTGAACAATTTTGAAATTAGATATAATCAAGGTAAAATGTCAATTAGTTTCTTGATTCTATTGAAAGTTAAAAATTTATTAATTTGTTTGAATAATTATAAAAATTATCATTTGCTTAGTCACATTTTTTAATTTGGTTCATTTTAATAGAAAAATTTCAAGATTAAGAAAAAAGAAATTAAAATTTTTTAAAATATAATTTAACAAAAAACATAATTAATTTGTTTAAACAATTGTTAAATATCGACACAATAACCTTTATTTTTGTATTTAATTGTATTTAATTATTTCCTGCATAAAATTTATGAACAAGAACGCATATTAATTCACTTTTACTTGATTAAACTATAACTCTAAATTAAAAAAAAATTTAAATACACTGTTAAAAGAACTTTGTAACTTTACATAAATTTCAAATTTTTTAAAAAAAATTATAGATATTTTATTTACTCCTGTTCACTGAAAAACTTTTTAGATTATTTGTTAAACGAATATAGATAATAAAAAAAGAATTTGCATTTCAAGGAATAAATTCAAGAATAAAATTATTATATAGTTATTGCAACTTTTCTTCATATTAATGACTACTTCACGACAAAAAAAAAATTGTATAAGAAAGTTTTTATTCATTTTGCATGTACATCATCGCAGTTAATAATTATGTTCATTATCGTAAAAGTAATGCTAATAAAAACTTGTGGAAGAACAAAAATAATTTTTTTTTTTTTTAAGAACTTAACAGAATGTTATTTTTACTTTCAACAAAAAAATCCCATCGATTATTCCTATTAAAATAATAAAATTTTCTTATTTGATTTACTTTATACGCTATATAAAAAAAAAATTAACCGACTTTTGGGATTAAAGAAAATATTTCAAAATTCAAATGTCGAATTTATAATTTTGTTTGGTACCACATGACAACGATGATTGTGTGTAAAATGTGTTTTTCTCCTAACTATTGAAATTCATTGAAGGAAAAGAATAGCAAAATTATAGCAGCTGACTTTCAAAGTTGTATTTCATATGCATTTTTTGAGGACAGTAAAACTGATACATTAACTTAAAATTGAGAAGATATTGAACTTAGTTTAACAGCTGAAGAAGAAGATGCAAAAAAAAAAAAAATGCCAAAAGGGGTCCAATGACCCATACCAAACCCAAGCGATAATAAAAATTAAATTATAATTGAACAACACGATGAAATCTTATTTTAGAGAACGTGAAATACGAGACTTCAAGTGCCTCTTCTGGACAAGGAAGTAATTTGAAACTTTAAATGCATTTTTATAAAAAAAAATTTATTTAAAGCTGTACCATTGGGTAAAAAATAATATTTTTAATAAACCCCTTAAAATATTTTGTAGAGAGTCAAAGAATTTATAGAAACTCGTAGAGCTATTGTTTAAATTAAATTTGAAAAATTGTTATTCAACCGAATAAATCTAAAAGAAGATTAGAAAATTAATTCATAGCATCCAGTAGGCAAAGTGGAGTATTTTTTAAAAAAAGCTAGATTAGAATGGTATTCACTTGTTACCAACTATAATAAATTCTTTTCTTCACTATCTTAAATAAATATTATTATTTGAAACATTAAAATAAAATTTCAATTTTCCATGCAGTTGCGCTTAATTATTATTTATGCATCGTCATAAGAATATAAAATCGAACACAAGGAATTTTTTCTATTTTTTTTTCATTTTTTAAAAATTCTTTCTTGTTTTTTAAAATATTTAAAATTTTTCACATATTGTCTAATATTTCAAATATGACAAAAGTTTGCTCATCCAGAAATTATTAATGTTAATTTGAAATTATATATTTTCTTATTAAATACCAAATATTATCAAAAATGAGAAAAATAAATTTATGCTTTAATTTTAAATCTGTTATTGCATTGTAGTAAGAGTAAATGGTAATGAATTCATCAATTTGCCAAGGGTCACTGACTGCTTCATTTGTACAATAATATAAAGGCAAATAAACCTCTCTATATATGCGCCAATTTGTCTTTAGAATTTTTTTTTCTAAATAATATAAATTTAGAAGATGATGTAATATTCATGTTGCACACTTATTCTTAGAAAACAATTTTTGTTCTAAATGTTAAAATTTAAATGACCCTAAAAAATTTGACACTTATCCGTTTAAAGTAATCGAGCAGTGATGCAAATTAAGACTTACTCACACAACATGATTCACCAGCACGATTAAAGGGCTGAAGGTTTAAAAGCCTCTTGTTGCAGCTCCTTGTCCAACAAACGTTACAGTGACTCCAAACATTCAACATCTCAGCATCAAATAAAAAATATATAGTATTATTTTTTATTAAAGAATTTTTTTTTTCTATTTAAATAAACTTATTTAAAAAAAAAAAACTGTGAAAGTGAAAGAAAGGTAATTTTTTATATTTATCCAACAGTAACAATAAATATATATATATAATGCTAAAATTTTTGAATAAAATAACAAGAGTTGTCGACACAACATAACAATCATAATTATTAACTGAAATTGTTTATTTTTTTAACTGTTCTTGGAGAATTCTTTTAATAATGAATTTTTGTTTTATTCACAGGATAAAAATTTTAAAAAATGACGATTTTTACTTGTTTACTATCATTAATTTGTTTGATGAGTGTCTTTTCAAATGGTTCAACAATACCGACAAATAAGGAAACAAAAAAGAATTTCGAATCAGAGGAATATACAAGAGCATCAGAGGAGGATAGTAAAATTGAAATGGATTCATCTGAAGATAGAAAATCATTAAAATTACAAGAAACTGAAAAAATAAGTCGACCAAAACGTTGGTTAGTGCAATCGACATCGACAAGTCAAAATCCAGAATTTGTTTATAAACCTTGGCTATTTGCCGTTTAAATCATATCCAATATGACAAAATTCTATTTTTTAAAAATAATGTTTTCTTCTGAAAGTGATTTCGGTACTTTTAATTTTTCCTTAAATATTTTTTTGCAATAAAAAAGGAAGATGAATTTTTATTTATAACAGTTTTAAAAATTTATAACTTTTTTTATTTTTTTTTTTTGCAAAAACAGAATTTTTAATTGCAATAAAACATTTCAAAAGTGTTGCGCAGAATTACCTGGTTTCTATTTAAAAAAAAAATTGTTATGAAAATAAAATCAGTGTAGAATATTACTATACTATTTTTTAAATATTTTAACTTGTAAGTAAATATTGTCGAGAATGTAATAAAACAAAAATAAATATAAATATTGTAATAAAATTCAATAAACTATTATTATTATTTTAAAATTTAAATTTTTGCCCATCGAATTCTGGTTTTACTTTTAAGGGAATTTGAAAAAAAGATTAATGTACAACAAAAATTATTTTTATATAATTTAAAAAAAAATTGTAAAAAGAATTTTTTTTAAAATATTCGGTAATACATTTTTAAAAATTCTCTTCATGATGTTTTGCTTGCATATATCTCGAAACGTTAAACGTATTTATTACCTCATCAAACATGTGTAATCACAAAAAATATTTAAAATATTTTTAAAAAAAAGAGAAAATTTTGTACAAAAATTATGAGTTTAAAATAAAAATGATGCAAATATTTTTTTCATTTACGTAAGAATAAAAATTAAATTTTTATATTTGTGCCTTCAAAAAATTAATTAATGTATTTCTTAAGTAAAGAATAACCCTCTTACAATAAGAGGACTTTTCTTTTGTATGAATTTTAATTTAATGTCGACATCCGATTAAATTATAAATATACTTTAGCAAACAAATTTCAAAAGAACGTAGAAGAAAAAATATTACTCGTTTTTTCTTCCTTTTTGTAAATCGTTTGAATAATTAAAAAAAAAGAAAGTAAACAAATAAGTCTATATTTGTTAATTTATATTATTATTATTGAATAGTTTTACTTAAATATCTCAAAATTCATTCAACTTTAAAAGAGTTGCGTTTACAATTTTCATAAATCAATTAATTTCGAACGATTTCAATGTGAAATTTTATAAAAATTCAATTTTAAATGAATTTAATAAGAAATTTTAAAGAACTTAAATTTTTGAAAAATTTTAATAATTCAAAATCTTCTAAAATTAGTTAAATTTGTCAATATATATTTAATTCATTATTAAAAATAATGATTTTATAGAAGAATTTTAGTTAAAAACAATAAAAAAAAATTGAATTTTGAAGAAGTTACAAATGTTTGAAGAAATTCAATTATTTTCAAAAAAAAAAAATTCTTCGCAGAAATTCAATTATTTTCGAAAATTGAAAAAAAAACCTTTTCAGAATTTCAATTATTTTTATAAATAATAAAATTCTTTTACAAAATTCAATTATTTTCAAAAAATTAAATTTCAAATTAAAATTTGAAAAATTGTTGTCAAAATTTCAATTATTTTCAAAAATTCTCAAAAAACCTCTTCAGAATTTCAATTATTTAAAAAAAAATAAAATTCTTTTCCAAAATTAAATTATTTTTAAATAATTGAATTTTAAATAATTGAATTTCAAATTAAATTCTTGTCAAAATTTTAATTATTTTCAAAAATTTTCAATATCTACTGTTTTAAAAAAACTGCCCAAAAGAAATTAATTACTTAAAAAAAATTTAATAAAATTCCACAGGAATTCAATTATTTAAACATTTTTTATAACTTTTTCACAATAATTCAATTATTTTTATAAATAATAAAATTCATCGCAGAATTTCAATTATTTTCGAAAATTGAAAAAAAAACCTTTTCAGAATTTCAATTATTTTTATAAATAATAAAATTCTTTTACAAAATTAAATTATTTTCAAAAAATTAAATTTCAAATTAAAATTTGAAAAATTGTTGTCAAAATTTTAATTATTTTCAAAAATTTTCAATATCTACTGTTTTAAAAAAACTGCCCAAAAGAAATTAATTACTTAAAAAATTTTTAATAAAATTCCACAGGAATGCAATTATTTAAAAATTTTTTATAACTTTTTCTCAATAATTCAATTATTTTTATAAATAATATAATTCATCGCAGAATTTCAATTATTTTTAATACAATTTCAATCAAATTTCTTGAAAAATGTAACTATTTTTAAAATTTTTAATAAAATTCCTCAAAAACATTTAATTATTTAAAAATTTGGTAATAAAATTCTTTATAAGGAATTAAATTTAAAGAAACATTTAATTATATAATTTACTTTTGTATTTAAATTTTAAATAATTGAATTCTCATAGAATTTTCTAATAAAAATTGATTTTTAAATGAATTTTAATAAAAATTTTAGATAATAATTGAATATGAAAATAATTTTGAAAAAGTTACAGGAACTTATTCTTATAATATAAGATAATTAATATATCTCTCGATCATTCCGAGTCGTTGACTCGGAGTGATCGATTTTTTTATGTTTTACAACAATATTTTGAAAGTTGTTTAATTTGAAATTTTTGATAATCTTAATTCCTATGGAAAAATAATAATAATTAAATATTTATTTAAAAAAGAAGTTATTGATGTATTTGAATAATTTTATGCAATTAAAGAAATTCGTAAATAAATTTAACAGAACATTTTTTTTAATAGAATTTTTTTCTTTATTTTCTAAAAATTCAAAAAATTATAAATGAACAATAAACAATAAACAAAATGGGTATATTTTTCATTTGTTAATTTATAATTTTTGTTAAATTTTCTAATGTCTTATATTATTTTATTATGAATCAATAAAATAACTAAAGAATAAATTTCTTAACAATTATTATTCTTTCTTTACCTAAGAACCGTATAGATTAAGTATTTCTTATATTTTAATAACTACGTTTTAGCCAGTAAATTTTGTATTTCCTCTAAAGTCTTTCCTTTTGTTTCAGGCATAATTAAATAATTAGAGAATGTTATAACCAGAGTCATAATACTATAAATAAAAAATAATCCATATATTTTAAAAACTATCATTAATTGTTCAAAGTTCAACTGAACACAAAATTCTATAATTGACCATAATATATGAATTAAACAAGTAGCTGAACTCTTGATTTGAAGTGAAAAAAGTTCTGCTACGAGAATATGACTAAGACAAAATAATCCCCCACCACTGAAGACAACATAAATAAAGAACAGAACAAATGAAATCCAATAAATGGATGAAAGATCTCCATTAAAATGAAATTTATAAAAAAATAACCCAGCGATAATAAATGAACTTAATCCAACGATGATTCCATACCATAAAGTGAGAATTCTTCGTCCGAGCCAATCTGGAATGGGGGATATCACAATTGACGAAACTAATGCTACTATCATTATCAAAACACTCGCTTGTTCGGGTTTTAAAGGACTTTCAAAGTGTCCAACGACTATTTGCGTATGAGATGCAATTGCTGTTGATCCAGAAAATGAGAAAGCTAAAAACGACAGAGTGCTGATAAGAAATGCTTTTAGATTACTTCTATTTCCAAACAGTTTTTTTAGAAAATAGGTTTTCGAAACATTTTCCCCAACACCTTCCTTCATAGTTTCAATTTCTTGCTTCAAGGAATTTGTGTCTCTTGCCCCTCGTAACTTAGCTAGACTTTTTAACGCATCCTCATCTCTATTGATTTTAATGTAAAAATAAGGAGATTCTGGCATAAAGGAAAATGTTACAATGAAAATTAAGGATATTAAGAATAGGATCAGATTCATATTATCGTAGGAAACAAAAGCACCCAATGCAACGACAATTAATGATCCTAGACAGAAGGATATTTTTCCTAGAATAATTAGAAAGCCTCTGATATTTTTTTTTGCAATTTCACCCACATAGATAATATCCACAACATATGCAGCACTATATCCCATTCCAGCAAGAATTCTCGCAATATAAAGATGATGTACATTCGATGCATAATAAATTATGAGCCATGAGAAAACTTGTGGTATAGCAAACAGTAGCATAGTATACTTTCGTCCTATTCTATTGACGAACACGGGGTAAAGGAGGAAGCCGATAATATTTCCAATACTGGATAGTGACACTACCCAAGAAGCTTCATCTGTTGTTATAGTAAATTTGGAATTAGACGAGGTTAGATGTGGTATTGACGGTGATGGCCAGTAAATAATTGTTCCAAATCCAAGTCGTATCAGGCACGCTGAAAATTATTAAAATATTCATCTTTAACAAAATGTTTATAGAAAATATTTAACAATGTGTTTATAAAAAATATTTGACAATATGTTTTTATAAAAAAAATTTTTTTTTCAAATATTTAACATGTTTATATAAAATATTTAACAACATGTTTATAAAAAATATTTAACAAAATGTTTATAAAAAGTATTTAACAAAATGTTTATAAAGAATATTTAACAATAATTTTTTATAAAAAAAAAAAAAATTTCAAATATTTAACAAAATGTTTATAAAAAATATTTAACAAAATGTTTTTAAGAAATGTTTTACAACATGTTTATAAAAAATATTTAACAATATATAAATATTTTCGAAATTAGTAACTTGTATTAATTTCATGGAATACTGCGAGATAAATTATTTTGGTGAAGCAATTATGAACTTACCAGTTATTGCTGCTGGATATTGCAAAGGACATCTATTTCTAATTATAGATTCACGATGATTGGTATTTTTCTTTGTAAAAATTGATCTTATGTTATGCATTTTAAACAGCAATAATTATTTTCGTTGTTAAGAAAAGTTTCCATAAACTAAGTTTCTAACTTTACTACATTATTGTATTTAAAATAGATTATCTGCATGACTTTATATCAGTTAATTATTTTTTATCGTTTATGACAACAACAAAAAATAAAACAGCGCGAGTAGTAAAATTTTATAACAATTGAACTAATTAGAAAGAATACGTAAACATTCCAATTAAAAATAAAAGGATGTCACCTCCCATTAATTATTATTAATTATTAAATGTTGATAAATATCTATTAAGGCGTTTCATCGAATACCTTTTTTTTAATTTTCCTAAATTTTAACAAGAAATTAGACTCTTTTTGAGCCAAAACAAATATGACAGATTTTCTAAAAGTCGCTATAATATATTTAATAATAATGATATTAATAGTACAGTAGGGATAATAATAATAATATGATGGTGACAATGATAATAAAATTAATAATAACAAATTGTATTAACAAATAACAGTAAATTATAATAACAAATATTAACAAATAATAACAAATTATAATTAACAAATAACAAGATTCTAATAAAATGAATATTAAAAAATAGTAATTATCAAATAACAGAATTTTAATAATCAAGCGCCATTTGAATCAATGTCGATACTGTAGATTCTTCTTAGAAATTCTTAGAAATTCTACTTCTTACAATTGAAAATTTTTTTTATAAAATTCTTTGCAAGAATTCAATTATTTTCAAACTTTTTTGGAAAATTTTTTTTGCAAGAATTTAATTATTTTTACAAATAACAAATAAAATTTCACAGGGATTCAATTTTTTTTTAAATTTGTATTAAATTCATTAAAAGAATTCAAGTATATTTTTATAAATAATAAAATTCTTTTCATGATTTCAATTATTTTTAATACTATATTTAATACTATTTTAATACTACTCAATTATTTTCACAAATTTTAATAAAATTGTTGGCGAAATTTCAATTATTTAAAAAAATTTTCCTCAAATCAATAATTTTCAATATACTACTACTTATTTAATAAAATTTTCAAAAAGAATTCAATTATTTATAAAAAATTTTAATACCTATAATTTCTACCCAAATATTTAATTATTTTCTTAAATAATTAGAATTTCATAGGAATTCAATTATTTACAAATTTTTCATAGATTTCTTTACAATAATTTAATTATATTTATAAGTAATAAAATTTTTTACAGGGATTTAATTATTTTCATAAATAATAAAATTCTTTTGAGGAATTCAATTATTTTTATAAATAATAAAAGTCATCAAAGAAGTTCAATTATTTTTAATACAATTTAAATTTTCATAGAATGATTTCAAAAAAGTTCTATTATTTGCAAAGATTTTAATAAAAAATCCTTCGCAAGAATTTAATTATTTTTATAAATAATAAAATTCTTCACAGGATTTTAATTATTTTAAATACAATTTTAAATAAATTAATCGAAATATGTAATTATGTATTTTCTAAAATTTTGTTAAAATCCTTCGTAAGAAATCAATTATTTACAAAAATTTTGATAAAATTCAGTATAAGTATTCAATTTTAAGAAATAATCAAATTATTCAATGAATTATTGATTTTTGTATTTTAATCATTGAATTCTCGTAAACATTTCTAAAAAGAATTGATTTGAAATTGAATTCTTGTAGAACTTTCTATTAATAATTGATTTAAAAATGCATTTCAGTTAGAATTTTAGATTATAATTGAATATTTAAAGCATTATAGCGTAAACTTTTATAGAAATGGATAAATTTCCAAAAGTTTTTAGATTAAAATTATTAAAAATTTTAATTCCTGTGAAAAAATAAATAAGTATTTATATATTTATTAAATAAAAATTATATGACTAACAGAAACTTTAATATCACAAAATTCTTATCAAATAGAACAACAGGTGCAAGAACTGTCACGATATTTTCAAGTTCTTTAAAGCATATTGATTATTTTTTTTAAAGCAGAATTTTATTTTTCTTCATATTTGGAGACATTATATATAACTTTTCTTTATTGACTATACATTTGAAATGACATTTTCAAGTTATCTTTCTTTATATATTGTGAAATTTCGAAGTGCCACGTATTTGCCACGTACCTTCAAAGTTAAAGCAAGTGCGGAAAATATTGAAACTTTTGATCTTGTTCATTAAGAGGCCATAGTTCTCATTGACATCAATATTGTAAGCATTTATTTTTTCAATATTAAAATATACTAATTATAGTTTAACTTTAAAATTATTAATAATTTTATATTTTGAGCCTAGTGAATTTAGAAAAGTATTTATAACAACTATTTTTCATTTTTACGAACACCTTACATTTTTTAATGTAAGTCAGATTTTCAAAATTCGAAATTTGCATATTATATATATATATATATAGTATATAATAATATAATATAATATGCAAATTTTGAATTTTAAAAATCTGACTTCATATTCGTAATCAGCGCCTCCAAAAACCCCTGAGTAACAAGTTTCATGTGAATTTGAGCAATTTTAAAAAATAAGTCCGCCATATTGGATCCGCCATTTTGAATATCTGTCTTCATATTCGTAATCAGCGCCTCCAAAAACCCCTGAGTAACAAGTTTCATGTGAATTTGAGCAATTTAAAAAAATAAGTCCGCCATATTGGATCCGCCATTTTGAATTTTTAAAAACTGACCCCAGATTCGTAATCAGTCCAGACAATTTAGTGAATGTTAATAAAAAAATAATTATACAAGTTACACATATTAATTATTATTACTTTATAGTACATTCAACATATTTTTCAATATACCTATCGCAATTTTATTTACATTAACTTAAAATTTCTAACGCTTGGGGATTCGAACCTACACCTATCTAATATTAACGCACCGAAATCGAGTACATTAACCACTATACCATGCTCGCATGGGAATTCAAAATCATAATAGAATTTATAAAGTGCCACGAAAAAAAAATGACAAAAAACTAACACATCAGTGTTAATTTGTAAAATTTGTAAAAACAAATTAACTGCAGAAGTAAATATTTTATTTACCATAAGTAACCTGCTTATGGTCAGGTTTTTGTCATTTAGAATTAGTCCGGATAAATTTAAACTCAATACGGTTTGTGTATTCGGAATTAGTCCGAAGTTAGTCTGATAATATGCAACTTGCAAATGTGAAATTAGTTCGATTAAGTCCGGAATTAATCTGGTTATGGTCAGGTTTTTGTCGATTGTTTCGGATTATGTCATTCAATTGGATTAACTTATTTTATAAGAATTCTTCACCGTTCATAAATTCGGATTATTGCGGACTAATTACGAACTGAATTCGTAGACATTCAGGATTACTCAGGAGTATTTTCGGATTCAGGTTTTCGTTCGCATTGATATCAGACTAACGCGGATCATTTTCGGATCTTTTTCATACAATTTTCGGTCTAATCTGTCCGTATTTAATCCGGAATTAGTCCGAAATTTTTACCAGGGATGATTCTTAATTTTCTATTAATATTTATATTTGTGCTTCTAGTCTCGCAGACGTCTTTCTAATCGTTCTGTTACAAAAATTATTAGCTCATCGCTCGTATCCCTTCCCTATCAGTTCCATCTCATTCGTATATTCGTTAAACACGACAATTAACTTCGTCCCTATTTATAACAGGTATTAGCAGATTTTGGAAGCTGAAAACCACTCTTTGAAAATAAATTTCTTAAATCTTGAGAAGTACAGAAACAGTTGAAAATTAAACCATCTCTTTATCTATCATTCGAGATACAATTATTTTTAGAAAATATTCCGTTATTGAATAATCATCAATTGTTTTAATTCTTCTTCTTTTTACAAGTCTCATATTTTTTTCACCTCCGCATTTGTCATCGTTAGTTTCGACTAAAACACATTTCGATGCTGATTGCTCGGGTTGTGATGATTCCGACGATTGTAATTTTTGTGAATTTAAATCAATGCAATGTCTGGTTTTTAAATGTATTTTTAAACATTTCGTTGATCGTTGACTGAATTTCAAAACGTTTACTATATATAAAATACATTCTGCATTTTCACCGTTATCGGATTTTACAAAATAGTTTGAAAAAGTTTTCTTAATCTCACCAATTTTTTTAATATCACTCGACATATTTACCAATTTTCATCTTCAAAATACGTCAATATTAAAAATTACCTAGGTAAACTTACCCAAGTGAAATCTTCGTTAAATAATGAAAGAACTGAATTTGTTTATGTGGCAAAATAATGATAATATTCAAACTAACCTCAAATTAATTAGAGAAAAAAAATTAACATGTGAAGAGTATTAAAAGCAAATTAGGAATACGCAACAACCAACATGAGTTATAAGCTTACAAGGTATCCTTATTATATTATTGATGGGAAAAATTAAATTAATATCAAATGATTTTGGGTAAACTGAAACTAAAATTAGTTGTAACTGAAATCCTTGGACAGTTGGGTCGTATATGTAGTGTCTCGAGACTCTAGTGGTGGGGGGTGACGCGTCTTTTGAACGACTTTAGTTCTCTCTTCTCTCAAAAACGAGGCGGCGTTCCGATCATTATGACTGCATGCGCTCATCATTTGTATTTATAATGTTAAATCGTTTTTAATCTTTTAATACTTAATTGTCGAATTGTATAATGAAAATTACATCTTAATCCCTATTACATTTTTTATTTTCACAATATGAATTATCCAAAGATGTATTTTTTCAGTGTCCAGAGTCTTAATTAAGAGTCCTTAATTTAATTAATTAATTAATGTTTAATATCTGTGTGTATTTTTCAGGGCGTGAAATAACATCAATAAATAAATTCTTTCAACAATAATTATTAATTCTTCTTTAAAAATTTTACAATTGATTAATCATGAAAAGAGTACTGATCATCTGTTTGCTAATTGCTCTGATAAAAAGTGAAGATGAATATACTGATGAAAATATTATGTTTTTAAAAGGTTCTCTTTTAAACTCGAGCATCTACATGAAAGAGCATAGTGTAAAGGATAATGCTGCAATTTTCGTAGGTGGAGGAAAAGTTGGAAAAAGTACATTACTTAATTACTTAATCGGCAATGAGTTAAAAGCTATATCTGAACGTGGAAGACCAATAAGTCTAAGAAGAGCAGACAATACATCTGAAGGACCAATAATTGGTGGTGGTTCAGTATCAAATACTACAGTTCCTAGAAAATACAATTCGAAAGAATTCGCCAATTTGTCCCTCTGGGATACTCCTGGATTTAGTGATAATAGAGGAGAAATTCAAGACATTATCAATGCATTTTATATCTATCAATTGATAAAGAATGTTGATTACTTAAAAGTTGTTTTATTATTCGAATACTCTGAACTTGTTAACAATAGCATTAATATATTTATTCAAGTCATAAATAGTCTTGAAACTCTGTTGGGAAGCGAGTACCAAGATTTTTTTGAAAGTGTAACAGTAATCTTTTCAAAAGTAAGTCCCGATGAAGATGATGACTATTTTGGTTTTATAGATTATTTTATAACAAGTCAAGTTTTACCACAGAAGTCTATATTACATTTGAACAACTTTACAGTAAATTTTCTCGAATTTCTTAAAGATCATAGAGATCATATCGGTTTCTTCAAAAGAGCGAACCGTGATGGTCCTGTTAATTCAAGTGATATTGATGTAAATATTATTTCTGCTATTAAAAAGTCCTCGAGAGTAATAGGAAGTTGTCTTCTCGATTTACATCCAAGTATATCTGCGTTATCAAAGAATTGGCTGTACAAAGCTGCTAACATATTGCAGTCACAGGTTGAATATATTAATCTGTTAAATAATACGAAACCATATATCGAGAATTTATCAAAAAAAATAAGTGAGTTGGCTAAGAATAGAAATTTAGTGGAATTAAGAGCCATTAAAAGAAGCTTAAGAAATGTTATTTCAATTTTTAATAGAATATATAAAACAACCGATTTTGAGGAAACTATTAAACTTTATAAAACAGTTGATGATTCAATAAAAGAAATTATTGATTCGAATAAATTGCTGCTAAAAATTGATCTATTGCTTTTTGTTGATAAATTATTGGAAAGAGAAACAAATAAGCAAATTTTGATGAGTTTGCACACTATTCTACTTCCCACACAAGATGTTTTGAATAATTGCATTTGTCAAATTGAAAATTTCTTAGGTGAAACAGAAAGAAGAAATTGTATTGATGAATTGGATATTTCTAAAGCTCGTACTAAAAGATCTTTAGATGAAAAGAAGAATGAAATTGAAGCTTTGAATAATAAAAGTACTATTAATAATTTATGGGGTATTGTAAAACAGATTACTGATGATATTAATCAACTGGAACTTACATTGTAAGTGAATTTATCATACTGTGTAGTATTACACAATTATTTTTGATGATTTAATTACCATATTATGTTAATTATTAATTTGTTATTATAATTTGTTGTTAAATATTTTTTGTTCATTAAAATTTGTTTGTGGGGTTCTATTATAAATTATCGACTATAATTGTAAATAATAATTAGTTTTATTAAAATTGTCATTATTATTATCTTACAATGGTTGTTATGTAACAATAGTTTAATGAACTTGCTTATTAATTTGCATTACTTATTATTACTATTGATTATTAATTGACACTAGCAACAATTCTCGCTCGTTTTTTTTAAATAAAATTAGCAATTTTTAAAATAATAGAACTCAAAAATTTTTAATTCAAATTTTTTTTTTATAAAAATAAAATATGAATTGGAATATAAAATTTTAATATTTATTATAATTATAATAATCATATATTCTGACATAGGGAATTCAGGGAATTAACACGAATTCTAAAACAAAACCTTAAATTTTTTCAATTTCTGACAGAAATTTCTTTTTTAATAACTTAAGTCTTGAACAACTATCATAAAATAAATAAATTATTTAATGAATGATTTTGTACTTAAATATTTCAAGATTAATTCAATTTTAAAATAGTTGCGTTTACAATATTTATAAATAAATGAACTTCAAAAGTTTTCAATGTGAAATTATATAAAACTTCAATGTTGAATGAATTTAATTAGAAATTTTAATGAACTTAGATTTTTGAAAAATTTTAATAACTCAAAATCTTCTAAAATTAGTTAACTTTGTCAACATATAATTTTGAATTTAATTAATTATTAAAAATAATGGATTTGTAGAAGAATTTTAGTTAAAAACACAAAAAAAAAGATGAATTTTAAAGAAGTTCTAAATGATTGCAGAAATACAATTATTTTCAAAAGTAATAAAATTCTTATCACAAAATTTAATTATTTTCGAAATTTACAAAAAAATCTCGACAAAATCCCAATTATTATCTTTAATACAGAAATAAATTATTCTTTAAAATTCAATTATTTTCGAAAATTGAAAAAAAAACCTTTTCAGAATTTCAATTATTTTTATAAATAATAAAATTCTTTTACAAAATTCAATTATTTTTAAATAATAATTTAATTTCAAATTAAAATTTGAAAAATTTTTGTCAAAATTTCAATTATTTTCAAAAATTTTTAAAAAACCTATTCAGAATTTTAATTATTTAAAAAATAAAATTCTTTTCCAAAATTAAATTATTTTTAAATAATTGAATTTTAAATAATTGAATTTCAAATTAAAATTTGAAAAATTCTTGTCAAAATTTCGATTAATGTCAAAAATTTTCAATATCTACTGTTTTAATAAAACTACCCAAAAGAAATCAATTATTTAAAAAAATTTCACAGGAGTTCAATTATTTACAAATTTTTTATAACTTTTTCTCAATAATTCAATTATTTTCATAAATAATAAAACTTATCGCAGAATTTCAATTATTTTTTATACAATTTTAATCGAATTCCTTGAGAAATGTAACTATTTTTCAATTTTTTAATAAAATTCGTCAAAAGAATTCAATTATTTAGAAATTTGCTAATAAAATTCTTTATAAAGAATTAAATTTCAAGAAACATTCAATTATATAATTTACTTTTGTATTTAAATTTTAAATAAGAACACAAAAAAAATTGAATTTTAAAGAAGTTACAAATGATTGAAGAAATTCAATTATTTTCAAAAATAAGAAAATTCTTCGCAGAAATTGAATTATTTTCGAAAATTGAAAAAAATCTTTTCAGAATTTCAATTATTTTTATAGATAATAAAATTCTTTTACAAAATTCAATTATTTTCAAAAAATTAAATTTCAAATTAAAATTTGAAAAATTGTTGTCAAAATTTCAATTATTTTCAAAAATTCTCAAAAAACCTCTTCAGAATTTCAATTATTTAAAAAAAAAAAAATAAAATTCTTTTCCAAAATTAAATTATTTTTAAATAATTGAATTGTCAAAATTTCAATTTTTTTCAAAAATTCTTAATATCTACAATTTTTTAATAAAATTACTCAAAAAAATTAATTATTTAAAAAAATTTTAATAAAATTTTACAGGAGTTCAATTATTTACAAATTTTTTATAAGTTTCTTCTCAATAATTCAATTATTTTCAGAAATAATAAAACTCATCGCAGAATTTCAATTATTTTTAATACAATTTTAATCAAATTCCTTGAAAAAGTGTAACTATTCTAAAAATTGGTCAAAAAAATTTGTTCATAAAATTTTTTATAAGAATTAAATTTTAAGAAACATTTAATTATTCAATAAATAATTTACTTTTATATATATATATAAAATATTCTTATAATATAAAATAATAATTTTAACACCAGATCCTCTATAATTATTATAAAATTTATGTTTTATAACAATATTTTTAAAGTTGATTAATTTCTATAAGGTTTGAATTTGAAAATTTTGAAAATCTTAATTCCTATGGAAAAATAATAATAATGAAATATTTAAAATATTTAAAAAAGAAATTTTTGTTTACGAATAATTTTACAATTAAAGATATTCGTAGGTAAATAAATTTAACAAAACATTTTTTTCAATAAAATTTTTTCTCTTATTTTCTAAAAATTCAAAAATGTTCACTTTCATTTTCCAATAAATTTTCTAATTTACAAATAGAATTTGTAAACATTTTTTTTCTTTATTTTTGCAAAACATTGAATTTTATTAAAACAATTGAAATTAAGAAATTATTTATTACACAGAAAGTAACTTCAAACTGCGGACAGAATGAATGAAAGAATACGGTGATTAATATTGTTAATTATACTATTATTAATTATAAGTTAATATTATTAAAAATACGTCACGATGACGTGACAATAATGTATATTTTCAAAGCTGAATATGTGTATTTTAATTCAATAAAAACTTGAAAGTTTCAACTTCTAAGAGTTTTTTTTTTAAATGTTCAAATGCCTTATTTTTATGAAACCGATTTTCTTTCTTCAGAGGTCGAGTAAATTCTGTATTTCTTCTAAAGTCTTTCCCTTCGTTTCGGGCATAATGATATAATTTGTCAAAGTTACAATGAATGTAGTCATACCAAATATCCAAAAAACACCATAAATTTCAAAAACACTAACAAACCTTAAAAAACCTAATTTGATGAAAAAATCCAAAATTGCTCGAGTTACATTAATAAGAGAAGTAGCTGTACTTTTAACTTCCATTGAAAAAAGTTCTGACATTAAAATGTGACTAATACTAAATAGAGCAGAATTACTACCAACGATGTAAATTAATAATGCAACTAAAGGAACACAATAAATTGATGAGAGATTCTCATTAAAGTAATACTTGTAAAAGAAGAAGCCACCTAACGTAAAGGAACTTAAAGCAACTAAAATTCCATAACATAAAATTAAAATTCTCCTACCAAGCCAATCGGGAATGGGTGATATTACAATCGATGTAATTAATACAATTAACATTATTAATGCCGTTATTTGTTCAGGTTTCAGAGGATTATCAATATAACTGACAATAGTCTGCATATAAGCCGCAACTGCAAATGATCCAGAAAATGAGACACTTAATACAGCAAGAGATGATATTATCAGTGCTTTTCGATTAGCATTAATTCTAAATAACTTTACTATTATGTTTCTTCGCGAAATATCATTTTTCATCATTCCCTTTTTTATATTTTCAATCTCCAATTCCAAGAATTTTGAATTTTGGGTTTTTCTCAATTTAGCAAGACTTTGAAATGCCTTCCCTTCGTCGTTGATTTTAATGTAATAATAGGGAGATTCTGGCATTAAGAAGTATGTGCAAAAAAATGTCAGGGATATTAATAGAAGCGTCAAATTCATTGTGTCATAGGTAACCATTGCACCTAGTATGGCAACAATTAATGATCCAAGAACGTATGCTATCTTTCCTATAACAACTAGAAAACCTCTGATATTTTTTTCTGCTATTTCACCAACGTAAATTATTTCCACAACATATGCGCCATTGTAGCCAATTCCTGCGAGAATTCTTGCTATATAAAGATGATAAACATTTGATGCATAATAAATTGTGAGCCATGAGAAAACTTGTGGTATGGCAAATAATAGCATAGTGTACTTGCGTCCTATTCTGTTGATAAATATTGGATAGAGAAGGTAACCGATTATACCACCAATAGTGAGTAGAGAAACTATCCATGATGACTGATCAGAAGTTATTGTGAATTTTGAATTTGATGATTTAAGGTAAGGTACTGCTGGCGATGTCCAGTAATTAGCTGCTCCTAATCCTAGTCGAATTAGACAAGCTAAAAATATATTCAGACAATGAAAAAATATTATTACGAATAAACTTTAAGAATTTTTTCTTTATTAGAAGCAAATGTTTTGAGCGTGGAACATGATATTTAATTTATTATTATTATGTAAATTACAAAATTTTTTTATTTTCAAATATGAATTTTTGAATACTTTCAAAAAAATTTTTTTTTAAAAATTCATCTTGTTTAATTAATTTGAAAAATTTTAATAAAATTCTTTGCAAGAATTCAATTATTATTTTCATAAAACATAAATAATAACATTCTTCAAGAATATTAATTATATCAAAGTTTTTATAAATAATTCTTTAAAAAAAAAATTGAATTATTTTCACAAACAATAATATTCTACATAGACATTCAATGATATTTAAAAATGTTAATATAACATTTTTTTGCAAAAATTCAATTATTATTGTTTTCATCAAGAAAAAAAAAACAATTTTTTTCTTAATCCGTTATAAAATCTTTGCAAAAATTTAATTAATTTCATAAAAATTTCACGAAAGATTTGAATTTTAAAAAATTTTTAAAAATATTTTTCGATAGAATTCAATTATTTTTGAAAATTTTCATAATTCAATTTTAATTATAAATAGTAAAATTCTTTGCAAAAATTCAATTATATTCCAACACAATTTCAAGAAAGAATTCAATTTTTTTCTTAATTCGTAATAATTTTTTTCAAAAGAATTGAATTATTTTCTAAAATTTTAATAAATTAAATAAATCCTTTAAAACAATTCAATTATATCTATTAAATAGTAAAATTCATTGCAAAAATTCAATTATTTACGAAAAAATTATTTCACGAAAGAATTCAATTCTTTTTCTTATATTCGTTATAAAATTTTTCAAAAGAATTCAATTATTTTCGAAAGTTTTAATAAAATTTAATAATTAAGTGCTAAATTTCAATTATTAACAAACACGATTATTTTAGAAACTTGAAAGAAATTATTGTTCATAGAATTCAATTATTTTTAAAATTTTTAATGAAAATTAATAATGAAACTCAATTATTGAAATATAATTATATTTCTAAATATATTTTATAATTATTTTCAAAAAAATTTCACGAATGAATTCAATTTTTTTCTTAATTTGTTATAAAATTTTTCAAAAGAATTCAAATTATTTTCAAAAACTTTAATAAATCCTTTGAAACAATTCAATTTTATTTATAAATAGTAAAATTCTTTGCGAAAATTCAATTACTTTCAAAAAAATTTCACGAAAGAATTCAATTTTTTTCTTAATTCGTTATAAATAAAAATTCAAAAGAATTCTATTATTATTTTCTAAAATTTTAATAAAATTTATTAATTATAAGTTCAATTTCAATTGTTAACCAACACGATTATTTAAAAAACTTGAAAAAAATTGTTTATAAAATTCAATTATTTTTAAAAATTTTAATAAAAATTATTAATAAAACTCCATTATTTAAATAAAAATTCAAAGAAATTCTTAAAAAAAAATTTAATTAGAATAATTTCAAAAATGTTAACAAAATTCTTTGTGAAAATTCAATTATTTTCCAAAATAATAAAATTCTTCGCAGACATTCAATGATACTTAAAAATGTTAATAAAATTTCTTTGCAAAGATTCAATTAGTGTTTTCATACAGGATAAAATTCAATTCGATATAAAATCTTTGCATAAATTCAATTAATTTCATAAAAATTTCACTGAAAGATTTAAAATTTTTTAATTTTTTATAATATTTTTCAATAGAATTCAATTATTTTCTAAAAATTTAATAAATCCTTCGAAACAATTCAATTTTATTTATAAACAGTAAAATTCATTGCAAAAAATCAATTATATTCCAAACAACTATTTCACGGAAGAATTCAATTTTTTTCTTAATTCGTTATAAAAAATTCCAATAGAATTCAATTATTTTCTAAAATTTTAAGAAATACATCGAAACAATACAATTATATAATTATAAATAGTAAAATTCATTGCAAAAATTCAATTATTTTCTAAAATTTTAATAAAATTTAATAATTAAACGTTCAATTTCCATTATTACTAAACACAATTATTTTGAAAACTTGAAAGAAATTGTTTATAAAATTCAACTATTTTCAAAATTTTTAATGAAAGTTATTAATAAAATTCCATTAAAAAAAATTAAAAGAAATTCTTCAAAAAAAAAATTTAATTAGAATTTTCAAAAATGTTACCAAAATTCTTCGTGAGAATTCAATTATTATTTTCCGAAATAATAAAATTCTTCGAAAGAATTCTATTAATATCAAATTTCTTGATAAAATCCTTTGCAAGAATTCAATGATTTTTAAAACAATTAATATTTTAAAATTGAAAATATTTAAAAAGAAAAATTATTTAAAAAAAGTTAAGAAACTAATAAGCAAAAACAAAAAAAAAACAAAAATTTGATGAAAATTTTAATTATTAGTTTAAGATATACCAGATATGACTGCAGGGAATTGTAGAGAACATTTACGTTTTTTTGAATAATTTCTACGATCATTATTTTCCGTTGATAATAACAGTTTTTCATTATTTATTCTACCGCCCATCCTCGATGTTTTAGTCGATAAATATTAAGTAGAACTTTGCTCATAAATGGAACGTACAACAGTTTGGTTGATAGCTTAACTACTGAATGTCCTTATGCCGGTTTCTTAACTTCCATGATAAGAGTCACGAAAGTATATTATAATTTAAAGAAAAAGGGCAATTAACCGACAAATGAGTAATAAATTTTAATACTGCGAAACATGCGTAAACTTTTTTTTTATATTTAAGGTGTTATAATACAGTTGTACCGCGCAAAAAGATAAAAAAATTTGTCGATTTTTTTTGACACCATAAAAAATATTTATTCAAAATTTTTTGTCAACGTCAAATAGTACATGTCTCTAAATAATTGTTGGAATTTTTTTCATCATATCTCGAGAACGGATCATCTGAAATCTGGCTATATAGAATCTTCGAGAAAATATACTCAATCATACCCACCACGATGCATATATAAAGCATCATTGTTTCTTATCAAGAGAATATATATATAGATACAAATCTTTCAGTTCTGAAATCAGTTGCAACTAAACTTCCATTCGCAATGCACAGAGAATCTTTTGTTTAGCTATTAATGCAAAATAAAAATATTAATTAAACAAAATCTTTGAAATACTGTGAAATTTAATATATATTCCTACCTTGAAAAATTGCTGTGTTTGGAAATTCATTTTCAGTCCGGAAAAAATGTAAGATACTAAGATCATAAATTTTCTTATTAATTACATACGTTTATCACTAAAAATATTCCAATATCCACAGTTATACTTTTATTTAATAAAACTAACTTTTAAAATGCAAAATTAAATACTTTTTATTTACTAATTTTTGTTGAATTAAAAGTAAATAAATTACTTGTCTTTAAAAAAATTACTATTCGTTGAAAAAGTAATTTTCTTATAATATTATTCAAATATTCTTTAAATTAAAGAATTTAAATTGTAAAAAAATTGCTTTAAAATAAATTTTAAATACGAATTTTATAAAAGAAACTTTGAATAACCATTTTTTTTAAATTTACCCAGTAAGATGTTGATTTGTTTATTATTTTTAAATTTTTTTTTAAATTTCAAAACATCTAGATAGTAGAAAATTTCAATTAGCATCGATCATTGATAAATTGTTACACATTCATTTTATGTGCAATAAGAATTTGACCTTGAAACTTATTTCTGAAGAAATTATTAAAAATGAGATAATCGAATATTAAAATATATTTGTAACTCGCTTTTTCAAATTTTATGTTTATATAATAAATTTTAATGTTTATACAGTAAATTTTAATGTGCAGTAATAAATTATAATCTGAACAGGAAACAGTTTTTTTTCTTATCATTTTAAAAACAATTTTTTTGTACAAACTTTGTATATCAATTAATACCTTTCAAAACAATGTAATAAATTAAAAACTTGGACTCGATTCTTTTAACAGTAATGAATAAGAGACAACATTTTATTAGCACTTTGACGTCAGAATACAAACTACAATTAAAAATTTTTTCTTTTCTAATTTCTTAAGTATAGTGAATATGTTTAAATGTAGTGAATTCATTTCAAGGACAGTGATTATTACTAATTGATAATATTTATTATCTAATAGTTGATAAATAAAAAAATACAATATTAAAACTTCTAGTTTTAAAGATAATTATTTTTCATTTATAGATGGAAAAGTTTATTATACACTACGTAGAATAGATATTTAGTATAAAACATGTTGATTTTTTTATCAATATGTTTATTAATAAATTTTCTATTTAAAATATGTATATATCTTAATTGTTTTTTATAAAACTTTTGTTTTGTTTATAATTACATTGTTAATATTCACATGGTAATTAATATTATATTTTGTACATTCAATAAGAATTTTATTAAGTTCCTAAATTATTTCTACACTATTCTTGAATGTTTCTGAACAATATAATATCTAAACGATTAATCTAAACGATTAATAATTATTATGATAATAATTTAATAATTTAATTATTATAATTATTATAAATTATAATAATAATTATAATTATACCTAATAATAATTATAAAAAAGAATGACACTCAAAAATCTTAATAACTGCTAAACACTTTCTTAATGATAAAAAATATTTGTCATTTTCACTGTTTAATCGTTCAGTGACGTTTCCTCTTTATTTTCACTTATTATAATTAGTTTAATGACCTCTTCGATTTATTTTATCACTGGCAAACTTTATAATAGTTTTATATTTGATTAGCGTCAAGTAATTCGCGTCAATCGGAACGTTAAAAAATTATGTTTAAATGTTTTGATTTTAATCTTTAGGTTAAAATTTTTTTTAAAATTATTTATTCATGTATAAAATATTACCCTTTTTTTAATCTATTGTTTACTAAAATTTTAGTTTCAGATGCTTTTTTAAAATATTTTTTTTTTCTAGCACTATTTTGTTTTTTCCAGGGCATCTTTACCATCAACATACGTTGAAGGATTTCATGATCGGAAGGCAGTTGAAGCAATGGAATATAGAACACTTGGGAAAACTGGTCTTAAAATAAGTAAACTTTCTCTTGGGGGTGCACCCTTTAGTAATCTTTTTGGGTATTTATAAAAATTTTTTAACAGAATAACATTCTTCAACATATCAGGGATTATTCCTTTCTTTATCAATCCGATATTTAGAATGCTCCTTCCACTATATTAACATCTCTCACCCATTTAGTTTTACAATAAACAAATCTATGAGTTTTTGATTTTTCAATTTTTACTATAAAATTTTCTTTCAGTACTTGCAATGAGAATGAATGTATAGAACTTGTGAGACAGGCTATAAAACAAGGAATTAATTACATAGACACTGCTCCATGCGGTACGGACAAGGACGCTCAGAAGCCTTATTGGGCAAGGTGCATAAAATTAAATTATCCCAAGAAATATATTTTTGAAATTATTTTCACTTTACGTTGAAATTTTTGCAAAGGCTTTAAAAGGAATACCACGAGAAGCTTACTATATAGCAACAAAAGTTGATCGATACGAAATAGATCCGGAATTTATGTTTGACTTTAGGGCAAAGAAAACTGAGCAGAGTTTTAAACAAGAGTTTGGGACTACTAGGTCTTGATTATGTTGATGTAATTCAGGTAGGAACCATACAATAAAATAAAATTTTTAAAGTAAAGTTTAAAGTATCTCTGCTACAAATTAGCAATTGACTATTTACACTTGTTTATAAAAGCCATAAACCTATAGCTAAGGAGTATTTATTGGCCGTTTGGACTGCAATACAATGTAAAAATATTAGCGGAAATCTGATTGGAATGATGAATATGAATGAACTTAAGGCTAATTTGGATGTGGCACAAAACGGTATTTCAGAACATGAAAATATGGTACTTAAACATATTCAAGAAAAGTAAGTATTAAATATTTAAATAAATACTTCAAAATAATAATAATTGTATATTTCGACAAGAGATTGCAATCCCGCAGGATTTTTTTTAGGGATTAAACAACAATCCCGCTAGATCCTGCAGGATGAAGAAAATCTTTGATCTTGCTCTTTAAGGCTTTGAAATTTGTTTATCATGTTCGTGTTTACAGAGTCTAAAAATTTTGTCACCATTATTCTTATAGTATTAGCAGATTTTGGAAGCTGAAAACCACTCTTTAAAAATAAATTTCTTAAATCTTGATAAGTACAGAAACAGTTGAAAGTTGAACCATCCGGGTGACGCGTCTTTTGAACGATATTAGTTTTCTCTCTTCTCTCAAAAACAAGACGGCGTTCCTATCATAATAACCGCATGCTCATTATTTTATTCTGGGGATCCCACATTTTCTCATGCGGGATCCGCAAACCATAAAAAGTCACGAGATTGGAATTGCGGGATTGCAATCTCCAATTTTGACATGTAATAGGTTACATTAATCTAACTCGCAGTAGACTCAATAACTCAAAAGGAAAAAGAAGTTATTTTCATAAATAAATTAATATATAATCAGACAAAGCTATAAATTTAAAAGCAAATGCATTTTTTTCTCTTTGCTTTATAAAGAGACGAAAATTTTTGTACTTTACAAATATAAACTTCTTGCAGAAAGAGATTTAAAATTTCGAAATAAATATTTCAGACATCTGTCGAAAGTGAAAGGTCACCAATGGAATGAAGAAGATTGGATCAAACATTCATGGAAATCTCTTAAGAAATAATTGTATATAAATTAATACTACTGTGTTATTATATTTTAATTTGATAGTTTTATTTTAGGGTATTTAGAATTGATCCTTCCGGTTTGACGGAATTTTAAAATGTTGTGTCATTTCTATCAAATATTGTTAGTTCGTGACGTACGAATTCATATGTCATGAACTAGACAAATTTTAACAGAAATGACACGACTTTTCAAAACTCCGTCAGAATGGAAGGACAGCATATATATGCAGTTACCTGTATAATGTTAAATATTGTGTGTACCTATAATGTTAAAGTGAATAAAAATAAATAAAACTCTTAAATACAATGAATCATGATTTTTATTTGTTATATATATAATATCTACAATAAAAATACCACATCGTTTGAAAAACAATTTTCATTACAATTATAAAGTAATTTCATATAATAATATAATATATTTATATTTTTATATATATTTATATATATATATATATATTTAGGTTTTCGTTTCAAATAAGATGTAGCAATGAACATTCACCTGCTCGCAATAGTATGTGTGGGAGTGAGAAAATACATTGTTATTATTATTATTAATATTATTATTTATTATTATTTATTATTATTATTTTTATATTTATTTATTTATTTATTAATGTAAATTCTACATTGATTTTTCACTCGGTCTGTCACTTACTTTTGAAGTTAATAATAATGTCCACTCCAAGTGAAAATTTCCACCCTGTAGGTGTATAATTTGAATAAATTTTTTTTTTATTTTCTATTAGTGTTTGAAGGCCAAATTTTCACTTCTAGTGAAATATTAAAACTTTTTTTTTTAATTCATACAAATTTTTTCTAC